TAATTTCCCCTTATGTCCGCACGGCCCATATGACTTCACTTCTAACCCATGTTTGCATCATGACACATACTCTCACTTTTCCCTTTTTTTCCTTCAGTGACTGAGGAAATGAGAAGGGGAAGCAGTACGCACCAGCTCTCACTGTGATGACATCACACTACGCTGAAACACACACACTTTTTTTTCCCGTCTTTTCTCGCTTTGCCCTCTGCTTTCTTCTCGTGGACGGTTGCTGTGGACCCCACAGATATTCTTAATTACAGTGGAATGCTGAGGGAGGCACAGGTCCCAGGTAATTTAACACCGACGGCTCTGCCAAGTGCATGACGCGACTTTTTAATGTCCACTGACCGGGGGTAGGAGAAGAATGCAGGATAGAGAGGAGATAATGAAAAGAGTTTGTATCTGTTTCCTGCATTGTCAGCACCGCAGCAGCTCTGCGTGAATTTCAACAACCCAAACCACGGTTTCCAGTTCTGCACGCTTGAGCAGAGACGGAAAGAGGAAGATGTTAGGGATAAAAAAGCTAAATTTTAAAGCAAGCGTGTGTGAAGCTGGGACAAATTTGAATATATGAATACCAATTATTTTTCCTTTTCAGCTGCTACAGGTCTCTTTGTCACTCTTTGTAAGTTACATGTAGCTTTACAACCTGGCAAACTTTTCATAAATTGTGAACACTACATTTTATTTAAGTTCTAAAGACCAAAAGTAGAGGGCACTAAAGGTTGAAGAGGTGGTTTGTTTGTTTTTTAAATTGAGTAAAGCTCTTTTATTATCACCAAAGATGAGCAAACATTATTTAGAGTGCATGTAGTGTGTGTTCGAGGGCGTGTGTGCACTTCTTACAAGGATTACCAAATCTCAGTGATGCTTTGCTTTGCTTTCGTCTCTATCGAGTTATTACTTTTGGCCTGTAAATGGTAAATGGCCTGTATTTGTATAGCGCTTTTTCTAGTCCCTAAGGACCCCAAAGCGCTTTACACAACCAGTCATCCACCCATTCACACACACATTCACACACTGGTGATGGCAAGCTACATTGTAGCCACAGCCACCCTGGGGCGCACTGACAGAGGCGAGGCTGCCGGACACTGGCGTCACCGGGCCTTCTGACCACCACCAGTAGGCAACGGGTGAAGTGTCTCGCCCAAGGACACAACGACCGAGACTGTCAAAGCCGGGGCTCGAACCGGCAACCTTCCGATTACAAGGCGAACTCCCAACTCTTGGTTGAGATGGCCTGAAACAACATTTCACTCAAACTCACTGCTTTCACACTACATGGGTTTTTTTTAAAAATCCTATTGCATCTAAACTTTATGTCTGCTCTCTCCAACACTAGAAACCTTTAATGAGTAAAAACTCAACATAACAACTCCATTACACCGCTCGGCTGGCCCACAGGGGTTTCATGTTTCACATTAATAATAATTTCTCATGACTTTGTGAATAATGAATAATGTGGCTCCAGTGACACTTTTTACAACTATCATCACCTTCAATGAGCTGGAGTAGCTACAGTGTGATTCAGAAGGTAGACATTTGTCTTGACTTGCAAGAGACACTGATGTAATGTCTCAACAGTGAGAAAAAGTTGCCACACCAGCCCCCCACCCGTACAGTTGAGTCACTAAAACATGACCTTGGGTGCACATAACGACACACAGGGCTTCCAAGCTCCTACACAACTCACGGGAAAACAACAGCAAACACATGAAGTCGAAGACGTCTCATTCGAAACTTGACCTAAAATGGTAACAGCACATGAAAGAAAGGAATCCAAGTGCTGTCTTTCTCTGTTTATTTCTTGCTCACTAGCTGCCAATAAAGTCCACTTAACCAACAGCAAAAAATAGCCTGATTCACTGGATATAAAAAAAGAAGATGACACAATTATCCAGACTGCTGCTAAATAAAGAAACAACTTCAGGTCCAACACTGATTTGCTGTCCTGGACCGTTCCCCCCGTGATATTGTTACAAATGAGTGTAAAGAGGATTTTCCGCTGACAGCTGAGGCCGTGTATGCTCTCTAAACGCAGAGTGGCAATAAGACAAAGACTTGGGGGGTGAATCACCGTGACAATGCTGCTTAGCAACAACTTGAATCAATCACTTTGTTAATAGCTACCCTGCAAGCTCTTTAAACTAAACTCCACACTAGAAGCAGGCACCTCCGACCTTGCAACCCAATGATATTTTAATACAAGCATCCCTTGTGGGGGTTGGATGCTCCCCTGTTCGAGTGCAGCTCCCCATTAATTGAGAAAAAACAATCCCTTGACCTACATACAGGACAGATCTGTGTGGTTTGCCTATACACAGCTGTTTACATTGTTTTGGGGGATTTTGGTAAATACTAATACTATAAATAAAGAAGGCCTTCATCATTGCACCTCTACAGCAAATATAGGTTAATCTGCTTTTGAATCCACAGGAATTTAGGAGCTTTTAGAATATTTTGCATCCGTCTGTGAACCTTAGTACTGGCCATGTTTGATCCCTACGTGATATCAGCAAAGGCACCCATAATTTTGTTAACAATGTGTGAGAGTTAGATTAACTTGAAAACAAATCATTATGTCTGTAAAACTGCCAATATGCTTAAAGGCCCTACAATAACGCTCCAATACACTTAAGTCTATCAATTTTACACACTGAATCCAAAAATTACAGGCAAAAGTTGAAATCAAGAATTTATAGACTTAAAGTGTTCATTGGCATAGGCTGTAATTACATAGCAGCTAGTTTAAATAATCAAGCTATTGATTGATTTAAAAGTGCTTCACCATTTTTAATGGACACTTAACTGAGCACAAATACTATATTATTCAGGGGATTTTAAAAATGACAGCAATGTCTTTACCAACAGGGGTCAAAATAACAGACATCGACTTTGAGCTCAGAGCTGCAGATGATCAGGTTGCAATGGTTTGGATCAACCATATCCGTGTTAAGAGAGGAAGATGCAGGCTCAGCGTCATCATAAAATCAAGCAACACCCTGCTGGCAGCCACCTGGCTATGACGGCCCTTCCCTTTTGCCCCATCACTGCATATGGAGCCCTAGCTCTTTTGTTGACACCAGATGCCCTAAATGAACCAGGAGTCCCCAGAGGATTGTGTGCTCAGTGTGCTGGTATAATTTTCTCCTGTGCGAGGTTCTGTGGGTAGACAGCATATATATGTAGGTTTTAAAAGTTGTTGTTTTTTTTTTTAAAACTAACGGAATCCAGATTTAGGCTTAAAATTAAAGCAGGATTCCAATTAAATCTATGTAGATCACAACTACAGTTCCCTCAAAGTGCTCTATACTGTAAGGTAAAGACCTAAGAATAACTAAGAAAACCACAATGAGACGATCCTCTGTGAGCAAGCACAATGGAAACAAAAAACTCCCCTTTACAGGAAAAACCCTCCAGCAAAAAAATAGATCATTCTTAACTCATTTTTTGTAAAGCACTTAATCCACTATTGTAAAATGAAAATTTTTACTTTAATGCTTAAAATGTAATTTTAGCAGGAATATCAGATATATTATATATATTGTTATAGATATTGTGGAATTTATTATATTATATTCAGTGTTGCTAGAAATTAGTTTGAAAATATTAAGCTTTAACTTTATTTTGGAGGGCTTACATCCGAAACAAAATCGTTAGAGTAGAAACTGACAAAAACACAGCACACATGATAAGATATCAAATGTCTACTGCTTTTCCAAAAGTAAAAAGTGAATGAAAGGCACAAAAATTTAGATTTTTTTTATGATCATAGGAAATTACTGACTTTTGAAATAAGCTAGATGTATGAGGAGGTATAAAGTTCCTTACAACAATGATCATCAGCTTTACCACTGTAGCAACACTGATTCCCGGAAATCACAAACCAAAAAGGTGCAGATGTACTGTGGTTTAATGTGTTAAAAAATGCCATATTATCAGGCAAAAAACTGAAAATAAAGCCTCAGATCAGGACAAACATACCTTAAAAGCCTCCAGCTGCTGGTTGATCACTTCTGTCTCCATGCTGACCGGCTCCTGGGACACCTCCTTGTCCACAGCTCTGCAGAGTTTATCTTCCATTTGATTGAGTTTACCATACAGCTCCTCTAGCTTTGTAAGAGTACTCTGCACCTGGACCTCTCTTCCTTTGGCTCTGTCTAACAGTTTGCCACACTGCTTACTCAGAGCATCCAGATCTCTCTTCAGGCCCAGAAGGTCAGGTGAGGGTTCAGACTCTAACATCTTCTTACAGCTGTCTCCAGCATTGGCTGTGTTAGCCATGAGCTCTTGCAGCTTAGTCACAAAACTCTGAATGCTGTCCTGCTGTTCTTTAAGAGTGTCCAAATTGAGATCCACTGGGGACATGCTGTCTAGCTCATCATCCAGCTCTGTGAACTGTGCAAACATCTCGCGGATGTTGTTTTGAAACTGTCCGATACCCTGCAGTTTACCCTCCAATGCTTGACATGTCTCCTCCAGTTTCTTATTAAGGTTGCTGTAGTCCTTTTCTATGCTGTCTGCCTGTAGTAAGAGGTCTGTCACTCCTTCAGCATCTGGGACATCCACCACAAGGTCCTTGGCCAAGGCCTTCATGTGCTCTACTTGATTCTGCACAGCCTCTAAACTCTTGTGTTGGGCTTTCATGTTGGTTAGGCTCTTGTTGCTGTGTGCCTGAACTCCCTGTGTGTCATAGGCATCCACTTGCTTCTTAGCTCCCTCAAGCTGAGTCTTTGCCTCTTTGCACGCATCATTAAATTCCTTTACTGTGTGCGAGATCTTCTCTGAAGATTCCCTTTTGCTCTGCAGACTTTCCACTATATTGTCTACTCTTTTGCCAGTGCTAGCCTTCTCTTCTTTTATAGCATCAGTGTCTGTGTTGGCCACCTCAAGAAGGCTATCTGCAGCTGTGTTGAGCTGCTCCACCAACCCTCTGTGCTTATCAACATCCTTCTGGAGAGCTTTCAACTGAGAAATGGAAGTCTCCACAGCAGCAGGATCAACGGTGAGCTTGACTCGGCCCTCGCTAGCCTCACACTCCTGAATCCAAGAGTTAAGCTTCTCCGCATGCTCCTGATACTTCAGTGATCTCATCAGAGCAGTTTGGAGTTTGTCAGCCTGCTCTGCGGAGCTCTTCTTCACTTCTTCCCAGTTGGATGAGAGGGTAGTAAGCTGACCTTGTAGTGCTAACTTCTCTGCACCATCAATGTTGTGCAGAAGCATCTCTCCCTCTCCAATGATTGTATTAAAAGCTTTCTCATGTTCACCGAGAGCCTTCTGGAGTTTACTGTGCTCCTCCACAGTTTGTTGCAGAACCTCCACTTTGGCAGAGATGGGTTTGGGCTTCGATTGGTCCTGGAGCTTCTCACCCAGCCATGACTGTAAATCTCTGGAAGTCTGATGAAACTGCTGAGAACTGGCAAAGGTGGAGTTTAACTGTTCAATTCTTTTTGCTGGAACAGAGGAATATGGAAAACATATTCAGTAAGTTGATCAACACCAGCGATAAAGTGAGTTTTATACAATACAACCAAACAGATTTTAATTTTCAGGACACTAACCTGCTTTCTCTTCCAACTGCTTAAAAGGCTTGCAAACACTCTCCAGCTGCCTTGCGAGGTCTGCTTTGAGGTAGTCCTCAGTCACCATCGCTGTGAGCTCTTCATTGATGGCCTCAGCCTCCTTCAGCTTCTTCTTCTCCTCTCGCAGCTGAGCCGAGATGTTCTGGGCATCCTCCAACTGCTTCTTCACAGCATCAGGTTGCGTGCTGAGGCCCTGATGGTTTGTGAGCTGACTCTCCAGGTGAGTGGCAGTGTTACTGAGGCTCCTCAGTAACTCCTGAAACTTTCTGGTTTTCACCACTGCCTGATCAATAAGGCTGTCTCGCTGGTCCAGCTGTCCTGTGAGGCCTGCCCACTTCTGAGTGACTGCAGCAAGCTGCTCGTTCACCAGCTTCCCACTCGAAGGGTCCTGATCACCTGATGAGCTTAGGATGGCGGAGGCAGCTTCCTCGAGTTGTTCATATTGAGGTTTGTGGCTCTTAAACTCATTCTGGAGGATCTGGGGGATAGAGAAAGAATATCAGATGACGATGAGCACACCTTAAGAAATCCTCAGGAAATGCTCAGTGAAAATGAGTCAAAGGCGCCATTCTAACCTGGACTTGTTGCTTCTGCATTTTAAGCATGTTCGGGTCTATGGAGAGGGGTCCGAGGACACTCATCATCAGCTCCTTCTCTGAAAGCCACTGACCAAGCTGCTGCTCTGTTGTTTGGAAGATGTCCAGATTCTTGTTGGACTGCTCCAGGTGCTGCTTCCTCTCCTCAACAGAGCCACTGATGTCTGCCCAGGCAGCATCTGAACAGGAGGACAGAACAATCACACCAATGTCCATTAGTCAGCACAACAGCACCTTTATGTCCTCTGTCCCACTGTTCTCCTAGCAAGCCTCCCACCTATTCACAACCTGGCACAACACATGTGTTAATTTAACCAGTGTACCGGGGGAAGGGACTGAGGTAGGCTCACATTTTGATAAATGAATTTATTAAATGCAACATTAGAAGTCAACATAGACACATAGACATAAACAACACGAGGCCATTTGAAGCCAACACCACGGACCACACCTATTTCTGCCAGCATCTGCTTCCATTTTGCTGCCTCGGGTGAGTTTGGATGAGTCTTAATCAAGTCGAGAAGCTTCTCTCTGAGCTTGTGAAGCGCCTCTTGTTTTTGCTTCATGTTGTCTTCAAATGCCTGAAAGAGCAAAACAAATCATAAATACCTAATGATTTCTTTTAAGATTGTCCAATGGCTATCGTATTCACAGTGAGAACCACCTGCAGTTTTGTTATATAATTAAATGTAACACTCCACGTGGAGAGCAGCAACACTTTTTGTACCTTCTGCTGTTCAAGCTGTGTTTTCACCGAGTCTTTCTCTGTGGCTGCACTGTTCCAGGACTGTGCGGTCTTTTTCATGTCCTTCAGCCACAGCATCATGTCATCTGTCTCCTTCTGGGCCTCTTTCACCTTCTGCAACAAACTACTCAGCTGTGCTGAGCGATTCTTCAGCGTTTCTCCGAGGTCCGTGTACCCCACATTGATGGAAGACATGTTCTGCTGAATAACCATCAGCTCTGAGGATATGAAAAATAATCTCACTGTTATAATTGTATTTTTTCCAGACATTTATAGTCAGCATGAGATATTAATAATAGTAATACATTAGCAACATGCTATATGGTATAGGACAGTGTATTCAGAATATGAGGACATTTCTTATTGTCTTTTTTCTTTAACTAATAGTTGTAATCTGAAGATACTTAGAGGTTATTTACGCAGCATGGACCACATACACTCTGATGACAAAGCAGCACCCACATACACACTTCATTACCTTTGTTGGTTAGGTAGGTATGGCTTGCTGGACCATCACCATTAGTAAGAGCTGACGCAAAGACATGAAACAAAGCTTATGTTAGGAACAAGCAGGTGGACCAGAACTCATGGCACCAGATCCTTCAATGATCTTTAACAGTTAGTAATTAAACAACACTCAGAAGACAACCCAAACACTACCCATCTGATTCAGTTTTATGACTCATATACACGAGTCTATGTGTGCTGATGTTTACCCGACTTGTTGGGAGTCTTTGTCTTGGCAGGTGATGTGAGGAAAGTAATCAAGTTGCACAGCGTCGATCCTTTAGTGTTCAGGTCTTGGACAGCGGGGCCTTTGGATGTCCATTCATCTAGTAATCCCTGATAAAACATTCATTATATGTCATTTAGAAGATAGACAGACAGACAGATCTTTTTATCTTTTCTGTGAAGAAAACAGTCTCTCTGCTGGACAGCGCACTGTTTCACTCTTAGATATGTCCTGTATAGACACCAAATATTTAGCTGTCATTAGCAGGCAGAGTAAGCACATTTGGGTAGTTTGGACTTTAAGGAGACTCGGACTATAATCTACTAAAACGTAGTGACTACCTATTGCAAAACCCATGAATTCCAAACTGCTGTGTCAGTGTGTAAATAGCAGTGACTTCTGTTCCAGCACCTTAACTGCAGTAAGATAAAACACATATAAAAATAACACTCTCTCTAAAATATACTTTGTATTTATCTCATGACTCACGGTGACTATCTGCAGGTCGCTCTCCAGAGTTTTCTCACTGCTGCTTGGCTGATCTGCAGGTACTTTGTCATTAGCCTCCTCCAGCCACTTAGTGAGAGCGCTAGCTGCAGATCTGAACTCTCCCAGCTGGTCCTGACAAGATGACAGTTCCTCTTCCCTGCAAGCAGGCGTGAGGAATCAGTCAGAGTTTGCATCCATTTGAATATTACAAACAATGCACAAATGTTAAAGTTAATAAAAAGAACACAAAATTAAGAGTTAAAAATAGCAAAACCCTCTTCTTCCAGACTTACTTTTCTTTGATGGTGTCTTTAAAGGTGCTGAAAACATTTGAGAGATTGTCCAGCTTGCTCTGAATTTGGGCTTTGTTTCCATCAGGGCTTATTTCAGACAGTTCCTTGGACAAAGTCTGCAGCTTCTCCAAATCACCAGCATATTCAGCCATATCAGCTTTGGTGTTCTGCAGAAAAATATCATCTGTCAGCTAATCTGTGCATGATGAAATTAGATTAGTGAGAAAATAGTCAAAATTTTTAAACGCACCTGCATTAGCTGAGACAGTTCATTGAAAGTTTTCCCCGGGCCGTCTGTTTCGTGCAGGTCCTGTGAGCGCTTCAAAACAAACTGCTGGACTTTTTCGGCTACATTCTCAAACTGCTCTACCTTTTCTTTCAGCTTCTCCAGAGTAGCAATTTTTTGCCTGTGCTGATCACACGCATCAGAGAAGCGCTGGGAGAGAGAATCCATCTTAGACTGCAGAAGCGCGGCAGCAGAGGGATCAGCCGTCTCCACAAACTTCTTCACCTTGGCTTTCATGGCTGAGATGCTGCTCTGGCGACTTGCTATGTCCTGCTCTAAAGCCTTAAACAAAAAAAAGATAGAAAACAGTAAAGTTTTATTAAATTATTAAAATAAATATGAAGCTGGTACGAAATTTTTGCATTATTAGAGCGCTGAAATGTTGGCCAAAAAAACCACATACTGCTTCTTTGCTCAGGATGCCTCCAAGAGATGCAGAGTCCAAGGTTATTTGCCCTTTTTCTTCCACACTGGCCTCAACTCCCTCCATCCATCCCATCATCTCATCCAAGCCATCCTGAACACTCATAGAGCGAGTCAGGGTGATCTGCAGCTTCTCATTTCGATCGCTTACAGACTTGGAAAGGTTGTCGTAACGCTCCACTATGTCATCTAAAACGCACGAAAACAAATCAGGTTCTGCTTAAAACAGGATCATGTCTCGCTGTCTGGAACACACCATAAGGTAAACATTTCAAACTAAGGTAGAAACATATTTGGCTTTTATGAGTTTGTTTAGGCTATAATGTTGGCAAAGGACATCCATTAGCTTTTTGGTTGAGGTAACAGCATTTTAAGTACATGCCAAGAAACCAATAACTGGGGGAAAATGAACACAAATGATTCAAAAGCCATGAATCACACTGATAACATTTTTCTGTTGTAGTAAAGTAATGGTGAACTCTTTGTGGTATGTTGACACCAACCTAGCTTGATAAATCATGGCTTTCTTTTTTACATTAACACAGTGCTCGATTAGTATTTCACAGGGCAGTTGAAAATATGTAAAATCTTCCAAAACTACTTCCAAATTATTTAACTGTCTGCTGCCTTTCAAGTTATTTAAAAGGTCTAAATCTGAACAGCAGGAATTTGGGTGTCCCTTCAGCCCTGAGTAGCTTTTCCAGACCATGGATTAGGCCCAGACTAAAAGAACAAGTAGTGCAGACTTTCATTTAAAAAGTTCATAGTCTAGGACACTAGGCTTAATGTCTGTCTGGGAAATTGAGCCATTAGGTATACAGATCATGCTGTGCAGCTGACTTTTATTTTTCTCACCTACTGTCTCCTGGATCTCATCTGGGTTGCTCAGCAGGTCACCTTCAGATGTTATTAAAGACTCAGCTGTTTTACGTAAAGAATCAATAGCAGTCTGGTGCCCCATCATCTGACCTTGTAAAACCTGGAGATTAATAAATAGTGACAAGAAAGGTAAAAAAAAAAACAATCCTCATAAATACATGCTCTGTTTCTACAAAATCTACTCTTTTTATATAGCGTACTTGATGATAATAACCTCAGAGCGATCGTGTCTGGGTTTAATATTGGTTAGCTGAATGCACCTATGTGACTTCACAATTACTCTTAGAGAAGTGCTTAGAATTTCTGCAGTGATTTCAAGTCCAAGCCCAAAGTACTGTGTTTCTTGGTTGGCTCACAGGCAGCTCTTATCTGTGCATATTTATCCTGTAAGTCACTACCTCGCTACAGAGAAATGTTGAAACTAGCTGCAGCCAAAGCCTTGACAGAGACAGCTCTGTCAGCCCAGTTCATTATCTTCTCGTAGGAGTATGCGCACTACAAATGACCAAAGTTAAACTATTCACATGTGGGTTTGAGTTTAAACGCAAAGCTAAAAATAACTTTGTTGCACTTAAGTCAGTGGAAACACTGTATATGGCGAGGCAAGGTCTATTGCCCTTATAACCCCTATAACTGTCACGTCTAAACAAGGCTGTTCCTTCTGTCTGTGCTTGGATTGCGCCTAACCTTTAGAGTTGACGCCGAGTTGATGAAAGCTATAATGAGGATAAATAACACAAAAAATAACATAAAAAAATGTCTAAAAGTATCTTTTCACATGAATTCTCTTTGGCCTCGATAACAAGGGATAACAATGAGATTAAAGAAAAAAATACCACAGGGTTGAAACAAATCTCGGCTTTTCAACACAACATTCTTGACCTGACTTTAAACTCTTAGGCCTAATTAGTTCAGCTTTTTGCTGCGGTTCTTGCCTTGGTGTCCTCCAGCTGTTTCTGTAGCGTTTGAGGGTCAGCTGCTATGGCCTCTGATTGCTGCTTTCTCGCCTCCTCCTCTGAGCTGTTGAGCCACTTCAAAAGACCGGTGCTTGAGTCGTCATACTTTTTGTACTTGTCAACCACGTCTTTGAGGTTGTTGCCAAGCAGATTGCACTGTGACAAAAGAAAAATAGATTCACTTTGGTTGTTTAAATAAAAGAATAATAGCAAAAATAACTGACCATAAGATCTCGATCTCAAAAAGCCATTTTCACAGTAAAGTTAACTAAAAGAGGTGCTGCAGTTTTACTTATATTTTAAAATAATATTTTCAAATCTAATTTCAATCAATGTTTTCTGTTATTTATTCCACTGTAATTCCAACTAGGACAGCTCTAAACTTTCTGTGCAGCAAATCAGCTTCATGTTTAACTACATCAACTTTAACCTTAACCTTATATACATTTAAATAAAAATTAATTTGCCATTTAAAACTTTTTTTGGTGTTTATTTTTTATTAGGACAGATGCTGCCACACAGTGGGAAAAATAAGCCATTACGCCCATTCTGATCAGCTGCATACTAAATACCTGTGAGTGTAGTGTTTTATATCGACTGGCTGCTGAATCTAGTTTATCCTTGACAGCAGAACAGGTCCCTGAAGTATCCACATGCAGCAGCGGATTCTTAGCTGCCGGGTCAGCTGATCCAAATGCCTTAGCCACGTCCAGCACTTTCTGTCCCGAAATAGTGATGAATCGAAGGTCCCCTTTGTGGGAAATCACATCCTCCGAGAAGCTTTTCTGTCGCTGAAGGTTATCACTGAGGATATTAAGGCAGCTTGCAGGTGCTCCCAGTTCCAAAATCTCTTCTTCAGCCTGGTTTAACCAGTTTTCAAACTCCTCACAGTCGTCCTGGAACTTCTTCAGCTCCTCCTGGACACACTGCACCTGCTTCATCTGCTGCTCAGCCTGAGTCAGGGACGTCTCATAGCGCTCCTTTAGCTCTTGGATGTTCTTCTGCAAAGCCTCCTTCTCCTGTGGAGACAGCACGTTGGCTTGCTTGTCAAGCATAGCCTGAGCTGACTGGGTGGCCATGATCAGATCCTGCTGCTGGGACAGAATCTCCTGGTGATGGGCCTGTGGTCACAATTATAGCAAAACATGTTATTAGTATGCCATAAGATATTTTAGACATTTTTGAGACCTTAAGTGTAGTCTTATCTATTTTTTAATGTTTTGAAAACACTCAGAGGCATTTCTTGTCTCCACCATCTCTTTAATACACGTTATATTTCAGTTATTAAGACAGCTTCATGTTTTCAGTCTAGTAATCTTAATCTTGTGAGCTGTTAGGAAAAATGGTATGAATCACTATTGAAAATAAATAAATAAACTCCAACAAACTAACTATACCTTGAGCCCTTGGTACTGCTTATCAAGATTCGGGGATTCATTGTCCTCGCCACTGGTCTCTCTGCCAAAATCCTTTTCAGTGGCCTGCAAAGCGTTTCCGTTGGCATTATCATCGTCTGTTATCAGTCCCTTAGCTGAAGGTTCCTCTGGCAGGTTTCCATTTTCCTGACTTACATGGTCTGTTTGATCCAGGCTGCTCTTGTTTTTATTTCCTACATTGGAAATCCAGTCCAGAAGACCTTCAATCTTGCTCTTACTCTCCTCAAGCTGTTCGACAGCTGCTGCCTGTGCCGACAGACCACACATTAACAATGCTGATTTCACTCTAACATTACAATTCAAATTCTCAGGAAACAGAGTTTTTACAGAAAGCACACATGGAAGGAAGCCAAACCTTTTCGCTCTCCTGCTGTATGGCTGTCGTGACAGCTTTCTCCAAATCTTTTCTGGAGTCCTCGGCTCGCTGGTTGATGACCTTGGCTTTGCTTTTAGCCTCTTCCAGCTTGCTTTCAATAGCGGCGATTTGATCTGGTGTCATCTTGCTTCGGTTTTCCACGAGAAATGTATTAGTACTGCTGATCACATCATTTAAGGCACTGGCGTTTGTCAACACGTCTTTTTGGAGAGCCTTGTGAAGAAACAGAACGTTTTTTTAACTGATACAAAAAAAATAATATTTTTTTTTTGTAGGGCAAACCAAGTGAAGTTATGACAAACCTGATGCTCCTGCTGGTACTGCTGCAGGTCTGTAATGCTCTCAGCATTTTCAGCCTGTTGCTTATGGCCAATCAGGCGGTTCTCAGTCAGCGTGAGATTATCACACACGTCCGCCAACTTGTCTGTAAACTCCTTCTGTTTCTCCAATAAAGACTGACATTAGAAAAAAAAAGGTCAAACTTTATATCTTTAAATTTCGTGTTGCGCAAATCTATTCTCACTAAAACATTCATGTAGACACAAACATCAAAGGTGTTTTCACATAATGAAAATGAAAGGAAGGAAAGGGAGGGAGCAAGAATTCGAGCACACAGAGGTAACGTGCAAAGTTTGCTTCAGAATAAACTCTCCTAAATCAAACCACTGTAAATATCGAGTTTGCTGTAAACATGCTGTTTGCCAATTTGTTGCCATGGTGCTAAAAAGCACAGGAGGACATCATATTGTGTGTTAGTCTGTTTGTTTTTCAGGACATTTTCCAACAAAGATAGGACATTTTGTCCAGTTAAATGTTCGCCGGAGTCTCAAAGCCTGTAGAATGAAAACAAGCACAGAGGTTAGTCTGCAGCAGGGATCGAGCACTCAAGCATGCAATGCTGTTATTTCTCTGAGCACTTACAACCTCACACTCTGGAAAAGAAACAACAAACTCAGACCAGAATACACTGAAACATGCAGAATGTCTAAAATAAAAATAAAAACCCACTCAGATTTACAGCTTAAATTCAAGTAACACAACTGAAAATGTCAATCTAAACTGCAACAAAAACAGAGCTACACTTTTTCTTTCCAGGAAAAATCTCAGTGAAATTATATATTTATAACATATACACAGGCAGACCTCTGCCAGGTTTTCTCTCTCTCTGGCATCAAGCAGGACATCTAAGGCACTCTTCTGTGTTACAAGCCTTTCTATCTGGTCTCTGAATGCTCGCTGAGTGGTGCTGAGGAACTTGAGGAGGTAGCTACTCTTAGCCGGACTCAGGAACTGAGTGTGCTCTGAAATAAAGCACTGGATATCAAACGTGACATCCTCTAACTTGAGCCTGGCTTCTTTTTGCAGATGGTCCCCCATGTCCTGGGAAAATAAAACATGGAAGGATGTTGAGGGTTTTTCTCCTCTTGTTTACTCAAGCTGTGCAATGCTTTAAACTGCAATTTAAGGTACCTTATTCTGCTGGCTCAGATGTTTCAGAGTGTCCACATCACATGTGTTCAAATCCACACCCAACATCTCAGAGTTATTTTGAATGAGCCCCGCCAGCGTATTGAGATCACTGAGATGTTGCTGATATGTTGATTCCAAGTGTACCTAAAATCATATATAAAGGGGTTAGTGGCTGATGCTACTGTTATATTATTGTATTTTAATTACTGTGTTAAGACTGACCTTCCCTGTTTCCATCGCTTGAATCAGAGAGCTGCTTCTTTCTGCACACATCTGAGACACAGCAGTAAAATCTGGCTCTAACTCCAGATATATCGAGGCCAAGTCGTGGTGGATCTGCTGGGGAACGTCTTCATCAGCAGAGTTTATGAGTTGCTTGGCTTTCTCCATATCGACTGTCAGAACATCAGCCAGACTAGAAAGCTGAGACTGCAGAGACTAGATAGAAAAAAAAAGAATTTGATCAGGAACTGAAACACATATTGACATTTGAAATATGTTAAAAATCGATCATTTATTCAAAAACAAATGGGCTTCAGCTGGTCATTTCTAACCTGACATTCCTCTATTTGGTTCTGCAGTTCTTCCATGTTGTTGTCTGTGGGTATTGGGGTTGAGAGGTCTTTTCTGGCATCTTCTAAAACATCAGAGTGATCCTGCAGTCTCCCAACACACTCCAAATAATCGTGGATGGAGAACAGCTGTGGGTAAAGAAAAAAAAATGAATTCACAAAAGGAACAGATGTTACTAATGCCCAAAACTAAGAAATGATGAGCTTAGCATTCAGCCAAAATAAACCGCACCTTATATTTGACCTCCTCGCCTCTGCAGCCATATGAGATGGCAGAGGCCTCAACAAATGGTTGATGACTCTTTGGAGCACTGTCATCCTCTCCTGACTCCTCATTCTCTCCCTCTGAACTTTCCTCTTTGATGCTCTCCAGTGTGTGCCACTGTTCCTGCTGTGATTCACACCCCAGAGCGCTGCTGAGGGTATCCATCACTTCCTTAAGCACTGAAAGGTCTTGGCTTGTGGAAACAGTCTTAAAAACCTGCAGCAGCTGCAGCTGGATATTTGGAGCATCAGACTGCTCTGTCTCTTGACCTCCTCTTTCATCCTGGCATATCAGTTTTGCTTTCCTCGTGTCCTCGCTGTCTAAACTGAGAGAATTTTGCTTCAGTAAATTCATGAGGTGATCTGGGTGACTGCTGTCTGTGAGTCCTTGAGATGTGCTACTCTCGTGGAAACTGTTTTTATGTAAAGATTGTGCATTACTCTTATCTATAGAAAGGGCATCTTGAGAATCTTGAGCTTGTGCCCTTTCCAAACCACTGCTCTTATCACTGTGTGTAATATCTTCCCCCTGGTCATCTGCATATGTCTTTCCAGGATTAGAAAACACTAATGGGCCTGAAGAGGAAACAACAGGTATTATACTGCTCTCAGACAGGAAATCCGTAACTGTGTGAGTATCCACAGAAACACACACTTCTAAACTTTGATCCTCTTCTATAGGATCAGATGTCATCTCTTCTCCTATTCTACTTCCAGGCTGTCCAAAGTTGTCTGATAAGGGAAACGATGGATTTAAACAGGAGACATTTCTATCACTATCAGGATCGTCTGTGTCCGTTCTTGATGCAGAGATCTGTTCAGTATCAATAGCGAAAATGCTGTTGTTTTGCCTCTCTGGGAAAAGCCTCTCAGCATCACCTGTAACACCAAGCACTGGCTCTAACAAGTCTTTAGGAGTCACCGCTAAATCTTCAACATCATTGCTGCTGTGATAAACAGTATTTGTAACAGCAGGTATCTCAGAAGAGGAGCTCTGCTCTTGTGGAGGTCTTTCACAAACAGGTGCACCCCTTTGGCAGAGAGGTACAGAAATCTGTTCAGCATCAATATTAAAAATGTCATCATTTTGCTTCTCTGGGGAAAGCCTCTCAGCATCACCTCCCCCTCCATGGGCTGACCCAAACAAATCTTTAGGAGTCAGGGCTGAATCTTCAATATCATAGTAGCTTTGGTTGATAGTACTTGTTGTTATGTCTCTATTAACAGAAGATATCTCAGAATAGGAGCTCTGCTGTTGTGGAGGTTTTTCACAAACAGCTGCACTCAGGCTCCGTTCTCTCTGACAGAGAGATACAGGGATTTTCTCAGCATCAACAGTGAGAATATCATTGTTTTCCCTCTCTTGGGGAAGCCCCTCAGGATCACCGGCACCTTCATGGGCCGCCCCTAACAAATCTTTAGGAGTCAGGGCTGAATCTTCAATGTCATTGTTGCTGTGATTGATGGTATTTGTTGCTGTTATGCTGCTGTAAACAGCACATAACTCAGAAGAGGAACTCTGCTGCCGGGGCCCTTCACAAACACCTGCACTCAGGCTCCGATCTCTCTGACAGAGAGATACAGGGATCTGTTCAGCATTAACAGTGGGAATGTCATTGTTTTGCCTGTTTTGGGAAAGCCTCTCAGCATCACTTGTAAGGCCACAAGTAAACCCTAACAAATCTTTAGGAGTCAGGGCTGAATCTTCAATATCATAGTAGGTTTGGTTGATAGTACTTGTTGTTATGTCTCTATTAACAGAAGATATCTCAGAATAGGAGCTCTGCTGTTGTGGTCCTTCACAAACAGGTGAGCTCAGGCTCTGATCTCCCTGACAGACAGATACAGCATCAATAGAGGGAAGGTCATTGTTTTCCCTCTCTTGGAAAAGCCTCTCAGCATCACTTGCACCACCATGGGCCGACCCTAACGAATCTTTAGGAGTCAGGGCTGAATCTTCAATATCATTGTTGCTGCGCAAGATGGTATTTGTTGCTGTTATGCTGCTGTAAATAGCAGGTAACTCAGACGAGGAGCTCTGCTGTTGTGGAGGTCTTTCACAAGCAGCTGCAATCAGGCTCTGATCTCGCTGACAGAGAGCTATGGAGATCTGTTCACCATCAATAGTGAGAATGTCATCATTTTGCTTCTCTAGGGAAGGCCTCTCAGAATCACCTGCTCCACCATCTGTAAACCCTAAGAAATCTTTAGGAGTCAGGACTGTATCTTCAGTATCATAGTTGCTGTGATTGATGGTATTTGTTGCTGTTATGCTGCTGTAAACAGCAGGTATTTCAGAAGAGGAGCTCTGCTGTTCTGGAGGTCTTTCACAAACAGCTGCAATCAGGCTCTGATCTCTCTGACAGCTGCTGGGCTCAGATTCATCATTATAATCACTTTCTGCTTGCTGACGTAATGCAATTCTGACATCTTCTGCCCTGTTTTTCACAGAGTTACAATTACCCCTGGAAACCGAGATGACTGCACCCTCAACAAAATCCCCAAGCGATGTGTAATCCACACTCGGAGCTGGCTCACTGCCCAAAGTTGACCGAACCCCACTTTCATCTTCCACTCTAGCTTCCAAAGACAAAGCACTGGAAAATGAAACTGACGTGCCGGTTTCACTCTGAATGAATGTCTGTTTTCTTACACTGGTATCATATCCATCACCGAAAACATCATCATCACTGGGTATGCTGTCAGATTTACCGGAGTGATAAGCAAAAGTGGCAGACTGAGTCTGGCTTTTGGAATCAGTATTGATGCCAGAGATTCTTCCTGTCAGCTCGCTATCCATTAAGGTGTGTGACTCACTGTCCTCAGCCCCTAAAGGCAATTTTCCTATATGATTGATACGCTCTGCTGTAACCTGATTCCAATAAGAGGGTGAGATCATCTGAGGCATGTTACCACTTTCTGATGGAAGGGAAAGATGTACTTTATTAGTCATTGTTTCTACACTCCCCACTGCCTTACACGCCAACTCTCGATTTCTATTTTCACTCTCTCCTTCTTTGTTATTAGCCTCTTCTTTGGCTAAATCAAGCACCGTGACAGCAGCATTTCTTGAAATCACCTGCTGTGTGTTTTCAGCTGCATGAATTAAACCCAGATCTTGAGCTTCAGAAAGAGAGTAAACACGGTTTTCCTCTGGGTAAAAGTTGCCTTGCGAATCTGAATCCTTGACTAATTCAAGCGGGAGTGCCTCACCAATGCTCCTGCTGCAATGAGACCTCCAAAAGCTCTGCTCTGTGTGACATCTGCTTGACAATGCCTGTTTTAATCCAGAAAATCTGTCTGTCTCAACCATCAGGATGGGATTTTTTTCATCTGACTGTGAGTCATGCAGCTCTAGTACCATCTTATCATCCACTAATCCTTTATTAAGAGCTTCCTGCAGGTTATAACAATTCCCAGAGGTGACGTCCAAAATGCCCTCTTCCTCCATTTGGGTTTTCAGAAGCGCAATAGCACTCTTCCGCTCATTTCCACCCTCCACTGAGTCCTCAGAGCTTAAAAACTGAGGTTGTTCAATATGAACACTTGTTGTATCAAAGCATTTAGCCTTATAGTGTGGTGGCACCTGATGGCAAGATTTAAATGAGGACTCAGAGCCAATCATCACTGAAGGTGAGCTAATATTTCTGCTTTCCCCAGAGCAAAATGTGTGAGGGACTGACACATTTAGAGAACCTGGAATATCAAGACCTTCCCTGGCATAATCTCCGGCCTCCTTTTTCAAAGTATTTCCAGAAATTCCTTCTTCAAACTGATCTGACTTTGTCCACCATGTGTCGTTTTCAAACGTGTTTTCAACCTCTACACCTCTGGTGTTAAAATCAATATCACTACTCACTAAAAGGTCCTTGGCATGATCGTGTTTTGAAGCTTTGTCATTTTTATTCGATTTTTCATCAAAGGTTATTCTTCCATTGCCAGAGGAAACAAAATTATGAGGCTCAAATGTGTGTTGTGTGTTTTCATCAAAGGTGATTCTCCCGCCGGTCTGGGAAACAAAGTCATAACGATCAAACACGTCCTCTGTGTTTTTTATTAACTCCTCTGATTCATCATTTATGTGTAGCGACATTTCAGAATCTGCGTCTTCAAAAGGATTTTTGGCATCAAACAAAGTCAAATCAGTCAAACCTTCATCATCGTTCGGATAAAATAGCGTGTCTTCAAGAAAAGCATGAGCCATTTTGTTTAACTGATCATCAAGTATCAAAACCCTCTGTTCTGACTTTGGATCAATGTAACTGTTCATCATTAAGTATGAGATGAATAACTGTTTTGCTTCCGTGGGAGAGGGGAGATTAACTTCTGAACCATCATGAGGCCACCCATCAACTGCCAGCTTTTTATAAGTGAGCCAAGATGAAAACTTTTCACTAAGGTGATCAACATCTGGCAGCACATCTGGGATCTCTATGGATTTCAGAACCTCTGCTGTGTGACTGTCGATCCAACCATTTTGAATAGCGGTAGTGATATCTATCACCTCTGAATTTTCTGGAATGTAAAATGCTGCTATTTTCCCTCGATTAGTAAAAAGTCTGCAGGTAAACTCACTGGAGGTGCTTTGACAATCAGATTCATGCGAGGCAGACACCGTTTGGATTTCCCCAGAGTGAGGCAACGCAAGTCCCATGAACTGTTGCTGATTTCCCAGGACGATGAGTGTGCTGCTGGAGCTCATCAAGTCACACTGAATGGCCGCATCCACCTTCAGCCCACCTCCAGCATTCTGGAAGTTACCATTTGACACCTCAGTTTCATTCTGACCTTCTAGATCCCCCTGAGCACCTAACAACCTCACCATAATCTCCTGATTACTAAAACCACCCGAAGTCACACTGTTAATATTCCCCTCTGATGTCTCTGAGCTCTCTCTGCTCAGGCCCTTGAATATCAGTTTATTAGCCTCACAAGCTTCACCCTCCTCTTCAGGCTCTAAAAAGGACAGACTTTCTGCAGTGCCAGGATTTATCATATCCTGGTGAGACTTTTTCCTCTGAAGGATGTTTACGTAGACAGAAGCAGGAATTAAACCACACTGAAATGCCTTCTCCAGGGTCATCGTGTCCCCTGTGTAGGACATCTGCATTTCATCACTGACCTGGCTGGCCTCTATTATCTTTATGATCACATCTTCACACATGGACCCTTCTCTAGCTGCTGCTATGTCAGACAGGGACACAGAGGAGACATGTGAACTCTGTATGCATTTGCTTGAATCATTCAACACTGGCAAGTGATTCAGCGTTGATGTGTAGATGCGATTTTCTTCAATAGCTTCGTCACACCCCAGATGAAATTGGGGTTCAGAGAGGTTAGAGGTTAGGAGGGCCCCTTGATGATTTACCAAACCTCTCTGATCAATCAGGCCAGTCATTCCAGTCCCAATCCTATCAAGGGGTTTGAAATCCTGCAGGAAATGAAAGCATGACAATTAATCTCACTAGCTTTGGCTTCAGCCTCAAAATTTGTTCAAATTTTACTAACTGAGGCAAGACAAAATCTATACTCACCACCACACAGACACGGGTTTGTTAAGACAGCGTTTGTGCAAGAGCAAGACTGCAACGGGGTTGCAACAGGAGGGTGATGGAGAGTACATTTAAAGCTATCATGCATCTGGAATATAAGCATTCAGCATCTTGCAAAAAGAGTGTCATTAGTCACACAGCACACTGTAAAGTTATATATCTGCTATCCTGTTGAGCTCTTAAAGAGAGCTTAAGCACACTGAAAGAAGTGAAATATCAGACCACAGCTTGGTGCAATTAGCATGTTTACAGCATACTCAGGTTTGACTGGTTTCAGCCATACTAAGTTTCTGTTCCTAAGGAGCCAGTCTAAGAGAAAGTGCGACAGAATTTGGCAAACACTGTACTAGGGAAAAGAGGATAATGGTTAGACATGCAATCGAACATCAGGGGGCACTGTTTTCCAACACATTATAGGGCACACTCCATTAATAAACACGAAGCCTATAATCCAACCTCATCTGCAGAGGGAGTCTGATCTGAACACTGCTGGGAGAGTTCATTGTAGGCCTGAGTGAGAGACTGCAGCTGCTCTTGGGCCTTCTTTCTTTCCTCTTCTGTCATTCTGTAAAGACAAAAAAATATTAAGGATGAAGCCCCGAGCTTTACCAGTCAGTCTTTTGCATGCTAGTCCAGGTAAGGAGGCTTACTTGTCACTGTGTTTGTTTAGCATCGTTTGTGTGGACCTCAGCGCTTCTGCAATTTGTTCTTTTTTAGTGACGATTTCCTCCACTGACACCTAGAACATCAAACAGCAACAACATGCATATCACCATGTTAGAGTCAATGATGCATAGTGACTTTTATGGTAGTTTTACTTTACAATTGCAACAAAAAAACAAGATAATCCTCAAAAATGCACACACACACACAGACACACAAATACTTTTTACAGACTAAATTAAATTTTTCATGATTCATTATTTACATGAAGCATACTGCACACAACAACTTTGCAATAAATATTAGCAATGGAAACCTACATAACATTTTAGTGTTTCTCCCAAAGAGGACTTGACTGATTTACACAGTCTTTAATGAGGCTATAATTTTAACACTGTTATTTCTGATAGCACTGTGCACATTGTGCTTTATTCTGTTTTACATAAGGGGCATGATATCAGAAACATAATAAGGGGAAGGTGATTTTGACATAATTTGACAAAATAAAGTCTAATTATGTTACACTGTAATTACTGAATTGTGATTTTACTTTACAGACATTTATTTAAGTTTATGAAAGTATTACTACAGAAATGCAAAGGTCCACTACTAACATCAAAAGATATATAAGAAGTCAGTGATCTCATTAGCAAATGACATGTAATGAAAATCTAAACTTCTTTAATTCACACATTTATTTTATTTTCTATTCTTTTATGCTGGGCAGATTTAATTATGGACCCCGTGATCATAAACTGCCTCTCACCACTATTTAGCCATGATTTAATTCCTTTTGCAATATAATGAACACATCAGGGATAGTTTTATATAAATTTCATGTAACCTTAAGGTGAATAATATCAGTTTGGGGCCACATGTTAAAATATTTCAATAACCTGTGAGACTGACGTCATTTATTATTCAGTGAAGTGCATTAAATATGGGTGCTTGTGCAACATATGCATTTGTTTTTATTATGAATAAATTGAAATAAGTATTTCATATTATCTTTGTAGGTCTTTGTAAGTGCAGTAATTAAATCCATGAGCTTCACAACATATATGGATAAAATGAATCAGGAAGTAGACAGTTTGTTTTATTAGAAATCAAACGCTGTGACAGCAAAGGGTGGTGGGATCATTTTGATTGGAGTGTTTTTGTCATTAAAAAAATTCATATATAAACAAAAGTTAGCAATAAAAAAAACAGGACACACCAGGAACATACACATTATTTACCTGCGGCTTATTAGAAGCATCTGTGTTGGCATTACTATCTTTCAGAGCATCCCCACTATTGCTCACGGTCTGTTTCACATTGGACATCCACTGCAATAGTTTGTTAACCTTATCACCATTCTCTCTCTTCTCCTCATCAACAGATCTCTAGAATTAAAATAGACGGACTTTTAACAAGATTGTTAACTTTGCTACAAAAATAAACCAAAACACAGGAAGAGAGCTGTCAAAATCCATTCATGATCAAGTTAAAATCAGCAAAAACCAAAAGAAGAAAACACAAGAAAGCTTTGGACAACCATGTACCGAAAAACTGTTTTGGTCAGAGCTGAAGAAGAATCAGCAGCACTGAAACACAAATATTTTTTACCAGTTTAGCAATGCGAGGCTTCATTGGTAATACCACAAGAGGCATCTTTGTTCATCAAAAGGTCAAAGATAACGAGAAAAGACTCACTGACTTTAAATCCACCCCACCAAAGGCTAATGCTATAATAACTGACAGGTTTTTATTTATATGCCCAAACATAATGAAATGTTGACTTTGGTCCAAAACCGTGGGATTTCGTAGCTTCCAGTAACCTTAACCCGGTGTGGCAGTCGTACACGCTTCTCTCCAGAGCCTCTTTGAATGTAATTCTTCTCTTGGTCCTTGGACAGGTGAGGCTTTTGGTGTGGATCTTCTCGTCTTTGAGTACAGTGGCGGTAACTTTATCAACGAGTCCGCTCTGAACGACTTCTTCAAGTGAGATTCTGTCGTGGGTGTCAGGTTTTATCAATCCTCCAGTCAGGAGCTGGAATTCAATACAGCGGAAACCGGCGTCTTTTGGGAGGAGATTTTCCTGAACAGCCTGGGAAACAGACAAAGTCTTTGCAGTCTTGGGATGAATGAAGCCATTAAGTGCTTGGTCAAACTGCAGAAGCTGCTGACTCAGTGCTTCATCCAAAAGACCTCTTTTGAGAGCCTCGGTGAGGGTAACTCTCTCTCCACATGACGGGTCACAAATACCTCCAGTGCAGGCCTGGGCCTCTAACAGCCGCAAAGCAGTAGCTCTGTCAGTAAAGCCCTGTTGAAAACCCTGAAAAACCGAAAGCCTTTTCTTCTGAGTGACATCCCAAAGTCCAGCAATGGGGCTGTTAACATCTTCCACAACAACCATTCTTGAAAATATCATGTCTGCGATCTCAGTGATACTAAGAAGACCTCTGCGATAGCTCTCAAGCTCAGACGATTCCAGGAATCTCTGACTTAGAGCCGACTCAAGGCAAAGCTGTCGGCCACCTTTGACATCAGTAATGACGTGAAGTGGGGTTCCACTGGGGTCAGCTGTGGACTTCTCCTGCCATTCACTCTCCTGCTGTGACAGAAACAGATATGTCTTCTTGTCAATGTGTTTCCCCTTGAATGCTTCATAGGCTGACATCTCAGTGCCACAGTTGCTGTTGACAACTGACACCCTATGAGAGCTGGCAGGAGATGTGCTTGTTAGGTGCCTCTGACCAAACGGAAAGAGAAACACTCCACCACTGATGTCGTACAAGCATGCCTTCAGTATGTCAGAGTAGTATGCTTTCTGTCCAGTGTCAGGGTTGTGATAACCTTTGGGGTTACTGACTGGATCATAGAGACTCTGTAGAGTCTCCTTGTTCAAAAGACCCTGATCTACAGCAATGTGAGCTGTTACCCTGACCCCAGTTGCTGGGTTTATCAGTCCTCCAGTAGCAACCTGGACCTCAAGGATCTTTTTGGCTTTGTATCTATCGAGAATTCTTTCCTCCATGGCCTGAAACACAGACAGCTTTTTGCCTTTAAAGATGTAGCCACTAATAGCTTTCTCAGCCTCCATCAGTCTGTCTTTCACGCTCGGATCTATAATCCCCCTCTCCAATGCCTCGGCAGCTGAATGCGTTTGTCCGGTAGCCAGATCTGTAAGGCTTCCTGTTGCAGCCTGAGCCTCGAGAAACTCAAGGGCATATGTCTTTGCTAGGAAGCCCTTCTCAGCAGCTTCCAGGAAGGATATCTTTTTCTTGCTCGACTCCACATAAATTCCAGCAATAGCAGCCGGTTTGCCGATGTACTCTTCATCCGAGGGCCTAAATTTGACAATATTTTGAATGCTTACACCCCCTTTGAGGTCTGGGAGCTTTTGGGGAGTTGAATATGTCACGCTCTGCTGTCCATCGCGGTCTGTTATACTACTCTCTGATGTGCTTTGGTACATTTTTGTCTTGCTGACATTAGTTTCGTGCAGCTGTTTGTCTTTAAGTCCCAACAGAGCCATGTATCCCTGTGCTGTCACAGAGCTTTGGAAATCAGTGTTAACGTGGCTCTTGTAAGTCACACTTTGCACATCTTTCTTGAGAAAAGCGGGAGTTTGATAAGGGGAGCTATCCAACATTGAGTTTGTTGTTGAATCCTGCTGAAGGCTTTGACTGTGAATGATCTCCCTCTTATCTTGTCTGACATGTTTAATCACTTCAAGGGTGATTTTGTTCTCCGTTGTTGCCATCTGTAGATGTGACATTGGAAGAGCTATTAAGTTTTTACAGCTACAATTATTAATATCAACTAACAGAAAAAAACAACTACTGAAAGGAGCATACTGCATTTAAAAATACTGGATCTGTTAATAAATGCACTATTATGTTCCTGTAATGCAAAATTCAGCCTCGTGCGTACCTGTGAGGACTTTTTCACTGAGAGAATCTCTTCATCTCTCCTGCTTTTTGTATCTTGATTTGAGTGCACCATTTTCTGCATTATAGCGACATCTGCATTCATCAGATCAGCCTTGTTGTCTTTCACATACTGGAAACTGCACTGAGTCGCCTCTAATCCGAGTGTCGAAAGCTTCTCCTGAAGGCCTTTAACCTCTTTGACGTACAGCACTATTTGTTCCCGCAGAGATCTTGCCTCATTTTCTCTCATTGTGAGTTTCCACTCGCTGTCTTTCAACAGCTGTTGAAACTTTGTCCATTCACCCATTTGCTCATTGCAAAGGCTTTGCATAGCACTGATTTTTGACTTGAGTTCGACTTTTTCTTCCTCGAGTTCGTCTATTTGAGATTTTGCTTTTGACAAGTCTCGCTCGAGCTTCGTTCTCTCTTGCTGCACTTTGTCCATTTTGATTTGAAGCTGTTGGTCCAGTTGTTGCTTTGAATCAGCTGTGCTCTGATGTTTTATCTGCTTCATGTCTTGCTTGAAATACTTATTCAGCATCTCTGCTAGTTCAGCGCTGTGCACTTTGGATTTCTCGCTGTCGTTTGTGAGCTCGGACTGCAGTAAAATGATTTTTCTCTCTATTTCAGTTTTCACTAGCAGCAACTGCCTGTCATAGCCCTCTCTCTGGAGTTCTAGTTTGCTCTTTAACTCCTCCAGCATTTTCTTACACTTATCCAGTTGTTCCTCCATCTGCTGGGACCTCAGCTGAAGCGCAGCGTTTTCTATTTGCTTTTGCTCGGCTTCCGATTGGGCGTGCTGAAGGTTTTCTCTCAGTTTTCTGACTTCAGATCCCAATAAGATGCTTTTCTCTAATGCCTCAGCTTTCTCCCTCTTTAAAAGTGTATTCTCATTTTGTAGGTTTGATCTGGATTTCTCAGAACTGGACATCATTTCTTTGATTGTTATTCTATTTTTCTGAAGCTCAGCCTCCAGCTGAATTAGTTTGGACTCTTTGACTTTTCTCTCTTGGGCCTCTTTCGCTAACTCGTCTTTTGTTCTTTGCAGTGAGGAGCTTAAATCTGAAAGTTTAGCGTTCAGGTTCTCGGCTTTCCTTTCCGTTTCTCTCTTCTCACTCTGAAGCGTGTAAAGTTCCTGCTTTACGTTTTCTGTCATTTTCTCCGAGGTGCTGGTTAACCCCTTAAAACTGTGCTTTTGTTTGAAAAGCTCATCTTCTAAAGCTTTGATTTTACTGAGATGCTTTTGATTCTCGGCACATTCCTTCTGCAGTTGTGCATTTTTAGCATTCAGCATCACTTTCAAATCATTGATTTCAGCTTTCTGCATGTGGACCTTTTGATTTGCTGAATTCTTGTCAGAAAGCACTGACATCAGCTCAGTTTTAAGAGAGGTTATTTCTTTCTCATAACTGGCAGTACTTGAACTGAGAACTTTGATTTTCTGCTGCAGTTCAGTCATTTTCTTTACCTCCTCACTGTAATCTTGCAGTTTAATTTGAAGCTCATGAGAGCTTTGCGATTTCTTATTCAGCTCCTCCTCAATAATTCTGACCTGTGATTTGGTGCCCTCTACTTGAGCCCTGAAGATTTTAATTTGCTGATCCTTGCTGTCAATTTCCATCATCGCCTGATCCAGTTTAGCTTTGATGTTCTTTAGATTTTCCTCCATCTCCAGATTGATCTGTTTCATCTCATCTACTCTCGCCTGCCACTGAGAAGCAGCTAATTCACTTTTTTGAAGTTCTGCTTCCAGAATTTTACACTTGCCCTGCAGCGCCTGCTCAGATTTTTTCATTAAGCTACTTTCTTCCTTTGCTGTTTGAACTTGCTGTTTCCAGCTGTCGATCTCTCTCCTTAAAGACCTGAGCTTTTGTTCTGAAAGTGACCTCTCTTTTTCCATTGACTCCATCTGGATGTGAAGACCTTGAATATTACTCTCCGATGAGACATTCATCCTCGTCAGCTCACTGCATTTAAACTTCAGCTGATCTATTACTGACTGCTTGGAAGCCAGGTCTAATTCTAAGCTGTTAATCTTGTAACTATTTTCCTGTTCAATGGAGCTTTTTTTCTGCAGCTCTCCGTGGGCGATGTTCAGCTGCTCTTTAAGGCCTTCTATTTCAGTGCTGTGAAAAAACGTGTTTTGTTCCAGAGAGGACTTTGCTCTTTTGAGAGATCTGATTTCGTCTTGAAGCTCATTGATGGATTTCTTCATGTTCTGTGTTTCCTGCTGGAGTTCCTCTGATTTCTGTCTCATGCTAATCCTCTCAGCTTCCAAGTCCATCTGAAGTTTCTTCAGTCTGTTATTGCTGTCATCCAACAGCTTTTTATAACTCTGTGCTTTTTCTTCAGCCATGTCTGCTTTTCTCTGGACCAGGACCAGCTCCTCTAATTTCTGCTGCAGAACATCCACCATCGTGCTGTCATTTTCTCTGAATGCAGATGATCTCAGCTCACAGTCTCCTGCTGACTGGTTGTCAAAGGCCAAAGGCTGCTGAGCCACACTTTTAGCATGGATTTGGCTTTGCGGCTCATGAACAGTGGCAAAGTCTATTTCCTCCACATCTTTTTTTCTGTGAAGGCTTTGGGTATTAATATCGTGGCCATCGTTTCTATCTTTTAAGAAATCGTCTAGCTTCTTCTGAGTCAAAGACCACGTGGCCTCTGACTGCTCGATTAACATTTTTGTGTGCTTTAATTCCTGCTCAATTGCCATTTTGTCTTTAACTGCTATCTCTAATTTAGCATGATACTGATTCAGATCATGCTCGAGCTGGGATTTCTGAAACTTTAGATCACCAATTGTCTTCTGCTGTGTTTCTATTTCTCCTTCCAACTTTTCCAACTGTTCTTGCCTCTCAGTCAGCAAAGCCTCCTGCTCCCAGACCCGCTGCTTAAGTTGACTAATCTCTATATCCTCTGTAGCTTTTTGGAGCTCCATGCTTTCTGTCCACCTTTCATTCTCTGCTCTTTCAAAAGCTTTTCTCTTCTATAATGGGAAAAAAACACAAATCATCCACTGTAGACATTGTAAATTAGCGTCGTTAATAATAAAACAATCTCTCCATGAATTTCCTTAATGAGTTTTGTTTATAAAAGAAGAGATAGCTGTACTGTAAATGCCTAAAAACTGCAAACATACCATCAATATTTTAGGTTTGATTTTATTTCAGTTACAGTTTTATATGTCAAAACTAAGCTTTAGAACTAATGCACAGATTCCTGGAGAGACATTTAAAAGAGACATATAAGATCTACTGCAGCAGAATTAGAAAAAAGCTTTCTCATCCCAGCAAGTCAATATCTCCAGGAAGGAGCTACCATCCATGCAGACATGCACAGCTCCATTTCCTTTGCTTCTTTTGTACAATGAAGCAAACTCTCTTCCCTCACGATGAGACCTCCATCTGGGATAATTGTCTTGGAGTGAGTCAAAAAGTCAAGGTAGACAAGTAGTGGAAGTGCTGTGAGCCACTAAAACAAGCTGATAAAAAAGAGAAGACCACCCAGGAAGCATGCCCATGTGCGACAATACAGCTACATTGGCATCAGGAAACAAATGGTGAACAAATTGAAATTGAAAAAGTGCCACACGAATCCCTGTTACCACAGAAAGTTTTATGTGTTAAAGCAAGAATAACTCACCTCCTCGTCCTCAGTTCTCTTCAGCGTTTCGCTGGCAAACTTCACATACTGAGTCATCAGAGTCACCAGAGCAGTGTAGCGCGTTCGGAGATCCATAAACTGTAAACACAACCAAGTATATTACTGAGCAGGCACTGTTGTTCATACAGAACTCATTTCTTCTGCTGACAAAGCCAAAATAAAGTTTCACCTCCTGCTGAATGGCATCAGAAGAACTCTGCATCCTCCGTTTCTTGAGAGGAGATTTGTGCTGGGAGTCGACCATCGCTCTGAACGTCATCAGCTGAAGTTCATAATCCTAAAAAAGAATTTCACATGAATTGATGGTGAACTAGTTTTTGTTAGATTATTATTGCTCAGTCTCCTTTCACCAAATGTCAACAAAATGTGACTAACTGCTGCAATATTCAGAAAAAATATTCTGCAAAAGCCTGCAGACCTGATGCGTTACTGTTTAGATAACAGAACTGTAAAGTGGGGGTTAAACTAAATTAAGGACAACAAATGGCTTCACCTTAACAGCAGATGAGTACTGCTCTGAGTACTTTTGACATTCGTCGATACTGCTCTGTTTCTTCTCAATTTCAGCAACAAGGATCTGAAAAACACACATTTTAATACATTGTGTATCTATATAAATGTTTTTTGCTGTGAATAACTTCTGTGTTGTCCTACTTTTTGTTTGTTTAACAGCTCAGCCAGTGCCTTGCTATCCTCAGGCTTGTGTTCTTGGGCCTTCAGCTGTGCTGCCTCCATGTCTCTAACCCATTCATCAAGGCTACTATAGGAGTCTCTGTAGTGCTTCAAAGATTTGCTGATACCATCCAGGTCGCGGAGCCTGAAAATAGGTTGGATAAGCTTTTAGTGATCAATACATACACTGACTATTTTCTGCAAAAACAGCTTGTGTGCTTGATTTAATTCAGAATGAATAAATGAAAAAAGCCAAACCTGCTTTCGATCTGCGAGTGGATGTTCTGCCACCTCTCGCTCAACTGATCCGCCTTTTCTTTGTGCCAGTCGAGGTCAAAGTCGCGCTCGTTGTGCGCTTTAAACATGCGGTCACTGATGAGTCGCGCCTTCTGCAGCTCATCCTCCATGTCGTGGAATGACTCCTGTCTCTCATCAATCTCTGTCCGCCAGTGCTGTGTGCAGAAGCAGGAATGGTTAACAAGTGAAGTCAAAACACTGGGTGTGTTGGTGAAATACTGTATCATGTTGGTGTAACACCTTTAGTGTGGAAATGACATTTTCAATGGATTTGACATCAGGGTTCATGGCATCTTCTTCGTAGAGTTTGGACTCATAGGCCTTAACAAGCGCCTCTGCACTCTGACTGTGTTTCACCACTAAACTCACAGTTTTTAATCTGCAATAGAAGAAAAAGGTCTTTAGTTCTAATATTCTTTTGTATTACAAACATACATATAAATGAATTACCTAATTACAATGAAGGGAAACTCTTACTTGTCCATATAAATGGAAGACATGGAGTACACTTGGCTCATGCTCTGAATGAGGACTGTGAGCTCAGATGAAAGCGTTGCCACAGACGGAGAACCCGCGGCCTGTCTGAGGAACAGCTCGCACTTCTCCTTCATGGCATCCAGATCCTCCTTCAGCTTATTCAGCTCTGCCGTCTTCCTCTGCGAGAGCAGATGAGGGCGGGGGGATGATTTAAACTGACAGCAACAGCGAAGTTCTCGAGTATCATAAATGAGTATTGCAATGTGTACCTCGTGCTCTGTGATACGCTGCAGACTCTGCTCCAGGTCATCTCTTTCCAGGGGTGAGCGTATTTGCCTGATCAGGTGTTTTTCATGGGCCTCCAGATGCATACGGAAGTTGCGTATTTCCGAGATGTAATGATTGTACATCGACTCCTCGTGTTCCTCTGTGTAACAGAAAAGGATCAAAGTCTATTAAAAATACTGACAGCTTGGTTGCATTTTTCTTTTTGAGAGTAATAAATATAAAACTTTGCGTTATTTTGAAAATCATCCAAAGGAAAATAATTTAAACCCCAAAATACTGCAGTTTAAACTGACTGCCTCTAGGTGGCACCCTTATTATGCTATAAGGTCAAGTAAGGTCTGATGCAATGGAGCTCAATCCACTGAACTTTGTATGCTGCTGAGGTGGAGTCAGTCCCAAAATGAGAAAATTATGACTAGTGCATTGAGAAAAAAAAATCTTTTAAAAGGAAATGCAAATATTTTATACTGTATATGTGAATACTGCCCATGTGCATATGTATCAACACAGCGGAACAAATATTCTTCAAATTTTCCCAAAATTAAAATTCATGACTACACATAACACTTTAACGGCATATCAGTGCAGTATTTACATTCACAGCAAAATCAGAGTAATTCCAATAGGTATTAACTTAAGGCTTAAAAGGCTTAACAGCCATGTGTTTCCCTTTGCTGTGTTTTGTACAATGTACACAAGCTGCTCGTTGTTACGCAGAAGGGGAAGGGAGATTTGAGCCTTGCCTCTCTCTGCGGATCTGAGCAGTTCCTGGTAGTACTCCTTACACGCCGCCACGTCTCTCTCGAGCTGCGCGCAGTCCGCCATAGTGAATACCTTTGACTCCTCGCTGTCTTCCAGGAACTCATCAAAGTGGGACTGCAGGTTGCTCAAGACCTGCTGATGCTCACCTGGCAACATGGTCTTTATCTGGAGTGATGAGAGCAAAACAGTCAAACAAATAAAAACAAGTGTAAATAACACAAACTGGCATTTTCCTTAGAATGATCGTTATCAAACTGAAGCGTGATTATCACAAATGATCGTCAAAAGAAAAGCTCGACTGACTGCAGTCTGAAAAAACAAACTCCGACATACTGAAGCCGCATTCCAGTTGCGGATGGCTTGAATGTCAGCCATTAGATAATGCCAAGACACCACACTCTTCATGTTGACGTGGGAGTGGTGCCACAGTGCCAGGACGTTCTGATATAACTGCTCAGTTCTGCAGAAGCAAAGGTTGTATTATTAATATTATTTGCTGCGTCAATGAAATTTGTGAAAAAGATTACTATTGGGGAAATGTAGGAAACTTAGCATCCTACCAACTCACCTTGAAGCCATATCAACGGCCTCTTTGTTGGGTGGAGGGACAGTGAAGCAAACAGAGGGAACCATCGCCTCATTACCTGCTGGGTTGATGACTTTCCACTTAGCCCGGTGAGAGTTACTGGCCAGTACGCACTCGTCCTCTTTATAAATGGTAATCTGAAAGAGTTGACAAACCGTAACTGATTTACTATAAATGTTTTATATAAACCGAGATTAAATGTGGTGATTCACGGCACCAATAATAGTACCTCTATCTGACGATAATCACAGATCGCTTTAACAGGGATGGAGGATCTTAGTGGATTTTCAGGGTTTCTGGGCTTGAGCTGCACAATATTTTTAGCCCTGCCCACCAGCCCAGCCACAGTGCTGCGGTACTGAAGGAGCTGCTCTTTCTCGTCCTAAGGACACAGAAACCCACAAAAAAATGTGTTTTCTTCATTTCGCCTTTAAATGCACACACACTTCATATCTTTCTGTCATTTTACCATGGACTCCTGAATGAGATCCTCCAGTCTGTGTAGGCTACTTGTTCGATCACAGCTGTACTTTCTTTGAATCGAATCCTGCAAATTTTTCAGGTAATCCATGGACTCTTTGGCATCACTGAAAAACTGTACAGTGAGGGAAAGAGAGTTGAATTAGATGTGGCAAACACTTTGCTGCATTCGCTGAAACAGTCCACGGCAGCAACTCACCTCAAAATAAATGGCATTCTCCTTGAGATGTTGTTCGACACATGAGCAGAGCTGTAAAATCCAGCTCCACTGGGTCTGCATTGCAGCTTTGTATGCCTTAAAAAGAAACCCCAACATTAATTTTTTCAGATTAAAAAAATACATACATATCTTGGCATCATAACTGGAAAATTACAAGTTGAATCAGGACTTTATAATCTTGTAATCGCTGTGAAAGATGAATGCAGGGTGGAGTCACTGCTGCTAGTCCAAAATTTGGATTCTTAATTGTCATATTGAGGATGCACAAAGAACACAAAGGGCTTACTTCAATAGTTAGCCTGGCTGGGTGGTTCTTGAGCATAAGGCGCTCTGCCTTGTCCTGCACAGACTTGATGGCTTCCTCCTTTTCATCCAGCTCCCTCATCAGGTCCTGTATTAAGACATTAAGCTGAGCATCACTGGCATTCTGCCACGGCATAAAACCAGTTAGTCCATCATCTAACAAAATCTCATATCCCGTCTCACTGATTTTAAGTTTAAAGCTAAACATTCAAGCCCCAGTTCCTTTTGATGCGAATGGTGCCTCATTAAATAAATGGACGTATAACGTAAGCAAAAACTAGAAAGCCAAATCGTTGTTGATGGAAGGTTTTACTAGCTTCAACAAGCAAAGACTTACAGCGTGGTAATCCCTTTTTTTGGAGATGTTAATGTTGCGATCGCTCCAGTCAAAGGCAACCTCCTCTTCCTCCTTCTCGTTCAGCCAGATGAGCTCTTGAGTTGCCTGTGATACAAAGTCATGCAGGCTCTCCAGGTGGCTTTGCCGCTCCCTGGATGAGCTCTGAAAGAGACGGGCGAGTCAGACAAAAACAAGCACGTAAGCAGTTGTAGTATTTATTGGAAAGCCATTCATATTAAGCCATTCATATTCATATTAAGCCATTCATATTAAGCTCGACAAATCTCCCACCAAGAGTCGTTCATACTGCTTTTCCAGTTTGTTCAGTTTGTCTGAAAAGCTGAGCTTTAAAGGCATCGTCATCTGAATCTGAGAAAAGAAAAACATGTTTATTTTATTTATTTATTTATTTATTTATTTTTTTTTGGGGGGGGGGTTCTAACACAGCTAACAAAAATTTATGCAACTGCAAGAAATACTTACTTCACTTATTTTGGCTTCTTTAAGACTCATTTGGAATTCTTCGATCACTCTGTGTACATTTTTGTGGTTATCTAAATTCATTTTCACACTTGGCATATCAGATCCCCACTCTGAACGCTCCAGCTCCATCTTAACAACAGAAAAAAAACTCAACACAAATACTCAGCATCTCATTTTAAGTGCCTTAAAATAAACCCACACCAAGTTATAAATCAGAGATGCTCACCTGCATCTCTTCTACCCAGTTTAGAAGGTCCTGAACAAACTTCATGTTGACCTCTTCTTCTGTCAAGCTGGGGTCTGCCAGTGAGGATTTCAGTAAGGGCTTCCGGATCTGCATGTTTTTCAAATGCCTGAGGCTACCTGGGACCATGTCACCACCGCCCCCCAAGTAGCTCTGGACTGATGCAGGCTGCAGACTCGGGGTCAAGGCAGGAGTCAAGGATGGGGTGAGGCACGGCGTAAGGCTGGAGGTGAAGGTGGACCCAGGGGTACCTATTCCCCCTGGGGTGAGTGCAGGAGTAAGGGCTGGTGTCAGGTTAGTGTTAATGCTCTGGGAGAAGCCAGAGTTCAGACTCTGTGTGATGCCTGAGATCATCATTTTGGTTTGCTCTGTTGTCAGGGTGCGGCCTTTGCTGTACACAGAGGAGCATTCGGCTCTCAGGGCTAGAAGATTATCGCGGAGTTTTGACACCCTGTATAGAAGCAGATGACAATTTGAGACATATTTTTTTAATGACATGAGGAAATTTCAGTGTTTTATTTATACAGAAGGATGTACTTTGTACCTTTGGACAAGCTGATCTGCAAATGGGAATTTTCCATCCAGGAGAATCTGGATATCCACTACTTGTTGTCTGAGAATATTCTCACACTCCAACAGGTAGCCAGCGATCTCAGCTTCATTTAGGAACTGAATACCAGACTCAAGACGTTTTGCATCCTTTGAAAAGAAAAAGAAAGGACTTCCAACTCATTGCTATTTTATCACAGCTTGCTGGAGTATTAAACTGAGAGTGCATGCTTACAGACTGCAGGGCCGTTCTCGCCAGTGCAAGCTTGTCCTCGCCGTTAACACAGTCCCGCTGAACCCTGTTGGCAATCTGCTGCAACATTTCAAGCCTAAAAAAACAAAGATGGAAAGTTATTTTACTTGTTTTTACTTGTTTAAAGTCAAAATGTCTAACTCCCCCCCCCAAAAAAAAAAATTCGAGTTGTCACACAGTGTGCTCACCTGGATCCATAGGCAATGTTGTTATTGAGAAACACTGAGCTGTTAATCTGTAAAGGCTCAGAGTAGACGGTGTCACCAGAGCCGTAGCTGGTGAAACTACTGTTGCTCCCGCTTAAATAAGCCATCTTACTTTACAATGCAAAACTCCTACTGCAGACAAAATCACTGTTTTTCATCCTAACCATCCCCCGAAACAATATCGGGCTCCAAATTCGACAGCTCGATGAAAGCATTCGCAGACCGAACTGAGGGAGCTGTTTTCAACTTGCTCATATTTATAGTGTCACAGCCAGGTGTGGAGCGAGTACAAACTCCCACCCTGAAATACTATGCCGCCCTCGGGGAATAAAAATTAAACGGCAGGTTGAGACAGTCCAGCGTTGTCAGAACTGAGTCTGTTTGGAGGACAGCCAAACTGCTGTAATTGCTGTTTCTGCCAGTTTTCACCACACCCTGAAATAATGCAGTAAATATGATGTGTTTATAGACCATGGAGGAAGGAATTGATATGTAAACTTGTCTAAACGACCATCATTCATAGGGAATTTGGGAAGGTGATGTGTGAGTTTCCATAGAAATACCAGCTACACTGTAAAGCAAACAACAGATGGGGTTCAAATACTTGAAAGCCTTCGCCAAAGAAAACGAGTCGCTGCGTCGGTTCACACTTTGACATAAACATACAAACTTATGTTGATTGCATTTGCAAATTTTTGCCACACAGGACTGAATGAGCAGTTTCAAAGTAATCCATGAATCAAGATAATCGAGATTTGTTTTTGTGCTGCTGACTTTGCACTTCATTATTCAAGCAGAATGTAGCCCATCCTCATCATATGCATAGCATGCACTTTGGCTGTAAACCTGAGCTGAAATATATCATTTAAACGAGATCTTAGATCAGTTGGGGGATTTCTGCTTTAATGAGGCAAATCACTCTCCGACATGCTACACTGACCATCGGTGTCTGGTTTCATTAAAGCCATTAGCAGGCTTGCAATACGACACCGAAGCACTCTCCTCACGCCACCCTCAGAAAATATTTTGCAGACTCACTTAGCATGTGTCTTCATGTTTATCCTTTTTTTTAAAGAAAAGCAGCTCATCAGTGATGGTTTGATTTCTGCATGTGACCTCCAACACACACACACAGTTTGTCATATTAAATACCCACTACATTGACTTATGCGCCTACACATTAGCAGAGTTAATTTCTTCTGCCCATTAAAACCATAAAGTCATAAATAAATTTGTTTATAGAGACTATAAAGATGAGACCTTAAATCACATTAGGATGAGCCTGGGCAGAAAAAGTGCACACCTACCTTTCCACCTCTGGCCTCAGGCTCTTCTCTCTTTCCAGCATGGCGACAATTAGTTTACCCCATTCCTTCTCCACATCATTCGGATGATGACCTGGGGGTAACTGAAGACGTCCAAACTCGATCCACATCTGTCAGGGACAACGCCGGCACACTTATTATCGCTGTAGTGTGTAAGACCATAAATGCAGGAAATGTGTAATCCAATCGTGCACATGTGTACCTCAAGCATTTTGTAGAGATTTTTGATTTTTGTTTTCTCATTTTCTTTTTGTGGGATTTCATGTTCTTTGAATTGAAGATATTGTGTATAAAGTGCCTGTAAAATAAAGAGAAGATTACATAAAAAACAACTTATTTAAAAGTGTCCGATCACTTTTCTGTACCCCCTGCATAATAATCTCTCATGCAGCAAACGGATGCAGCTGCTCTCTCACATCATTAGCATCGCTTTAAGTTGAGCATTAAATTGCAATTATCCTTTACCTTTCAGATATACAGATATGCCTACATTCCAAACACAGTGTAAAACGGGATAACTGGAGCTCATCTTGTTGTGGTGCCATACCTTGAGTTCTACAGGGTTATTGGGGAATGATCTACTTGACATTATGGCCACATTGTGTTTGATCCACTGGCTGAGGTATTTGATCATGTTCTGGTACTCCACCCATTTGATATCAACGTCCTGTTTGTAAGAGAAGAAGAATCATGAGAAATAAGGGATTTCTTAACCTTTTAACTTGGACTCGTTGAAGTCGCTTAACTTACATTAGGATTAACTCCTTCAACTCCATCGGGTACTTTGGGGAAGGCATCGTACAGTGTTGAGACGTAGGTGATGACTGATTTTTCATCAGGAGACTGGACGTCAACATCTGATGAGAAACGTACAAACCGAGGGGTCACGAATGACAGCAAACAAGAGCAAGCTGCACTCTGAGAGTTATTTTTCATGATTTGAATGACTCTGTATGTGACTCTTACCCTCAGGATCCAGTAGTCTGGCCACCCCCAGCTGTTCAGCTACACAAAATGCGTCTTCTAAATTTGATCGGTTGGTCTGTGTTGACACACGGCTCATGTCTACAAGGTCCGGTCTGTAATAGAAAGAGGCAGAGGTAGGTAGAGGTAAGGTACACACGGTGTATTACTGTAAGGATAGGGCAATTAAAGGTATAAAAATAAACTCAAGCAGTGATGTCCATATTAGCTGCATTTTTTGAATAAATCAAAAGAAAACCAAAAGCACTATTGTTCTGCAAAAACATGCTGTGTTGTGTGTGTGTTTGTTATAGTACCTGTATTTGTGAATAAGGGCATTAAATAGCCTCCCATCCCTCCACGAGGTTGTGAAATTTTCACATCGCACACCTACGTAGCCCTCTGTCGTCTGCTTGGACCAGAGCAGCAGTCTCTCCTTGGCTGTCATGTCCTCGGACTCTCCCGTCACATGGATCTCCGAGATCTGCCGCAAGGCAAAACAAAAAAACAAAACGCAGAAATGAACTGGCATGACTTCCACGCCTGAGGGTTCAAAGACATCAAATCAAACACATAAACTTGCGATGCACTGCTCTGTGGCATTAAAACTTTACCTTCACTGATTTGCCTGTTTTATAATGGGCTTTAAATGGTCTGGCACCTTCATGTTTCTCTGACCTTTTGCACCTCTGTGTTCCATCCCATCCTCTCCAATCTCAGGCCCCTGGCCTTCCAAAAGTTCCCAAAGCCAGAAGAAGAACTACTGGGCAGCGTGCTTTTTCTTTTCGTGCCCCATCTTTAACTTAAGCTAAGTTAAAGACCAGCTTGTTCACTCTATCCTGCTGGTCTTAATCTTATGCCTAAAGTTTTTACTGGTTCTTATTGCTGTTCTCTTTTGTTTTATCTGTTTTTAACTGTATTGTTTTTATTTATTTCCCATTTTTACCTTCAAATAGCAATTTATTTGAAAGTGCATTATATTATTATTATTATTATTATTATTATTATTAATATGAGGGGAAGGGCATGCAAGAACAGCAACACCAATGGCTGTAACTTAAATGACTGCTGGATCGACACCTGCGTGCCTGATAACTCGCTCACAGTGAGGATACTCAACTCTATAAGGAAAGTTTTAGTTTTGATTTGATTAACATGAAAAAGTTTGCTGAAAATGTCTGCAACATACCAGCAACGTGAGACAGAGTTGCATAATAAATTATCCAATAGTTTTACAGCACACTATACAGCTTCAGTATGGTATAATGACGTGAAGCAAACACTGCCACGTCACAGGTTGATTTTACAGCTGAGTGTTTATAACGTGTATTAAAAATGTGTGGTTGGTGCACTAGCTTTAAAGTTTATTTTCATATCTGGAAAATCTCTTTAACTTTGGTTCAAAACTTTCTAGGAGTTTGTTTTTGTGGAACACAGATACCAAGTAGCCGAAAGTATGGAAACATTATGCATGAGAGAAAGGCTTTACACATAAAGCAGAAAAATCACAGACTGTGGTTTTTTTACAGAATGAACTGCAGTCAGTTCAGTAAATCATCAGTCAGTTGATCAGTAAATCTATTCAGGTAGGGAACATGGTGACAACAACAAAAAACATGGCAAAAAAAGAACAACAAAATCCTTAACATACACATGAATAAAATACAGCGATGTATAAACCTCTGTTTAACTGGACACCACTTTAGTCCTTTTATGCTTTAAACGGAAACCATATATAGTGAGCACAATCGGGCACAATTATGCAACAGTTATACTATTATTATTATTATTATTATATTATAGCCACAATTCCAGCAGATCAGCTGATCTCAATGCCAGTCCACATCAGCTGATTGCTTATCTGATATCAATATAAAACTCACTATCCAACATACAGGAAATCAGACTGTTTAGGCTGCTAGAGCACTTACATGCTCATCTGCAAGCTGCTTTGCAACCCAGCTCCAGCTTTCACATTGAGAATCTCATATCTGTCACTGATGCCATGTTCTGTGCTGAGGACTTGCTGCTTCTGTCTCCTGTTTGCATGTATACACGTGAAAGGGCTTTGATTTCCCAGAACATGCCACCAAATATAAATGACTGCAAATCAAAATATCAATCTTCACTTGAGTATAGATCTGACTTAATTATGATTGTGGTGGTAAGTCAAACTTCCCAACCAGGGATTATTACAGACAAGCCAGGGTAACCACAGCTTTCTTCAAAGTGAAAAATAGAAGTGTTAAAGAGCTTAATCTGATTAACTTCATTAATTTAACTGAATGCCTTCATATGACTGTGGCATCCATACCACAACACAACACAAGGGTAAAGGAAATTTAATAAGACTAACAGCAATTTGGTGGATCATCAGCAGAGATGCATTTCAGGGTGAATCACTATATCATTTACTTTTGCACATTTTAGCCTCCATAACCCACTGAAGCTACAATATTATAATAAAAATATGTAAAAATACAAATTAATAATTGAGCTGTTAAATATCCAAAAGCAAAATCTGAGTAACTATTTTTCTGATATGGTTTCTTTGTTTATTTTTGTAAACAAATGGGGAAAAAAGTGCCAAAAACTACTGATGTGACTGAGTTGCAAAATGGTTTGAGGTTACAGTTTTTTTGTTGCATACGTGAATACAAAGTTAAATATGAAAGCGCAAATACTTTTGTCACATATCTGACACTTCCTCCCAAACAGCCAATTGATAATGCACCACAGATATTTACTTTATCTCCTACCAAACTTTACTCTGTGGAGAACTACAGTTTTCTCTCTTCTCTGTTTCACCATAAGTTGCTGCTAATGACCAAAAGAGATGAAGATGAAGATAAATTTGAATGATTCTCAGCATTCCCTGATAGTGTTAGCCAGCTAACGCAGATAACATCAACAGGAGTTTGTAGATTTTGTTTGAAGGAGGAAGAATAATGACAAACAAGTTTCGAAGAAGCATGACACTAGAAATAGCTCCCATACTTCAAGATAAAGTCATCTGCCAACTGAGCAAAGCAAAAATGAATCATATACATCTCAACTCTTAGATGTAATAACAGTAATATTATAAACTGTTCAGTCTATAAGGAGATCTATAGATGTGCCTTATATAGAACAAACACACAAAAGTTTGGACCAAAATATTAGATTTGCATTGAATCAGTGAATCTCAGGTACACAAGTACAGATACTGAATCTCCTCTCTAAGCATTGAGATGAGTGCAGAATAGTCGCACATTAAAACACATTTATACAAAATGCTTTCACTCATTCACAAATGGTAAAACAACAATTATGAGCTTATTTTCACTGTTTTTTCCATATTTATAAACTATTTTTGAAATACTGTTAAAATATTGTGTACTGTATGTACTGATCATCAGTATAATATGAATTTTTGTAATACAAATCAAAAATGTTCTATATGAAATATACAAAAACATACACGTATAATGAATTATTCTATTACAGTATATTCTTCTCAGTTCAAAACAATAGTTCTTAGCTAATGTGATTATGTGACCTAAATGGTTTTCAAATCGTTTTCTCTTACGTGATCTTTAGTTATTGTGTCTACAAAAAGCTTTTAACAATGCAGAGTGACCTATTTTATCATCTATCATGTACTTGGACACCACCATTGCACTGTTACAGTATCAGACTTCTCCCTAATCTACATGATTTACCCCTGTACCGCCTACAAATAGCACATGGTTTCTTGGTTTACCTCGTGTTCGCTGGAAATACATTTGGCCAGAGCTGGAGCATGTTCTACGTAACCAGAGCAGGTGTAGGCCCTCCGTCTCCTCCTTCGGTGTGCTTGAGAGCCCCATATAATCTTGGCAAAGGTTTCCTCACTTCCAGGTCTGTCATTACCCCTTAGTGTCCGTAGCGTGTGCTCCACTGCTCCAAAGCTAACCGCCCTCCTTAACTGGCGTTGTAGAAGCTTCTTTACAAGCAAACCCTCCTTAGCCGGGACACCTTTGGAAGTAGTGCTGACACCATGGAGCTTCTCTTCCACAGAGGACCTCCTTCTGTCACCATCTGCCTGGTTTGTAGAAAACTTTTCCAACCTGCACGTTAACCTTGTGGCAAGAGGTTGAGTCTGACCATCCCGAAGGATCAGAACTGGTATTTCTCCAACATAAACACCTTTGCTGATGCTGTCTTGCCTAGATAGAGGTTTGGCCACTCCTGATGGCTCATCCAGCTCGGTTTGGTTTTCTCCTGTGTTGCCATCTGGGTCATTTTTACACTCTCCACCACTGCAGATTGCTTTGGTTGTAACAAAAGTCTCACTTTCAGGACTTCTGAGAGATCCAGCAGGCTTTAAGTCTTCCGATTTCCTCTTTTTCCTCTGAAAATAGCGGCGACCTTTAAGATCTTTGGATTCAGGTCTCAAAGGAGCCCTTTTGGGGTCCAAATAATATTCCTCTTTCGGACCCCGAACACAACCACAGGTGTTTCCCATGGCTGTAAATCATATGGCGTCCTAAACATCCACAATGTTAAGCTCCAAACAGCGACCAGTTTTCAGGCGAAGTATCCAGTAAGCTCTACTCAATCTAAAACAGCAGGATCCCATCGACATGAAGCCATTGACAGCTTTGCAAGTAGAGCACCGTAAGCAGCGCTTAGCAGGGCAGCCAGACATAAAGCTGGCTCCACTCAGAGCAGAGCTGCCTCCGTCCTTTTGTTGACTGCGGAGAACCGGTCAGCCCCTCGCTCTCTCTGTCTCTCTCACTCTGCATTTCTCACTTGCTCTCTCATGCGTCTCTCCTCTGACACTGGAATCTTTTTTGACCTTTGAAACATTTCTCTGGCTTTGATAATCCAGCACAAACACCATAAATGCACACACAGACGTGTGCTGGTAGCCCTCAGAGCAGGAATGAAAAAGAGTCGTGGATAGACCTGTTTCAGGATGACAAGTCTGTTGCAACAAAACAGTAAACACGCATATGATAGCCGCCTCTTTCCTGTCCTAATATTTATGTAATGCCATAATGTTTCTTTGGGTAAGAGGAGAAGGATCTCAAACTGAAAGTGCATGCCAGTAGAAAACCGCGAGCTATGCTGCTTGAGAATTTGGTTCAACAAGTTTAAAGTTCCGTTTAATGCGACGAGTCAGAACGGCTTTGAAAAACAGCAACATACATAGGCCACAAAGAGCAGAACAAGCTCAGGCAGATCCGAGCCGGACAACATAGTGCTTTCACTTTGTCTATCGCTCAAACTCTGCACAATGGCTGAGCCAGAGGTTGGGCGTAAGTCCAATGGTTTAACCAAACAATATGATCTCAGCTGATCACCATGGCAGCAGTTCACATGGGGGCAAATGCTGTGCCCGAGAAATGATTCACCGCATAAAACTCTTCTAGCAATTCAAAGAATTATATAACACTGGACACTTAAAACACTGTCTGAGAAAGAGCGGGACAAACGCACTGCAGAAAAAATGAGGGAAAAGCTTAAAATAGCTTTGAGAGTAACATTTAAACGAGTCCCTGAAGGTCAAAGTCACCTGACAGCCAGCACAGTCCAAACTGCCGATCACTCCTGCTTCTTCTCACGTTCACCTCATGAGACAACTACGTTGGCCAAGCTGCAGTATTAGCCTATGTTCATACATCTGACAGTAAACATGCTAATATCTTCAAAAGAGTGTGTTAGCATTTGGATTTTTTTTTAATGGTAAGCTCTATAGTGAATGAAATAAAACATGAATGAATCACTCATCAATGTGTGTGTGCGTGTGTGTGTATGTGTGTGTGTGTTAGGTAAATGACAGCACACATGGAAAGAGTGATACTTCATTAGGGTAAAACAAACTGGTTCAGTCAGCAGCAGCAGTACTTTGTCATGCCAGCGGCATCTAGCCCTCCACACTAAAATTAATATTGTACTAGTTCCCCATGTCACAGGTAAAAAAAATAAAGATAAATATAGTGCGCACCATTTTGAGAATAGGAATATCATCGGCTTTGTGTAGCAAGGAAACCTCTTGCACACACAGGAATAAACAATGAAGAGCGACATAACGAGTTAACTGAAGTCAAATATTTGCATAAGTCATAATAAAGTAGCCTGCAGGTATAAGAAAAGCGTGTCATGGAAACAACCCTTTGTTTTCATGCAATATAAAAGTAGTGTTGAGTTCATACATGCCAGTGTGCTATCAGCTGTGACATTTAATAAAAACCAAAGCTGTACACTTTCAGTAAAGCTCAAGTTCTCTCCTGAAGTACCCTTGTATCCTTTTTAAATCAAGAAGAAACAGGCCCCTCGCTGCCACATCCACAGCTTAAGGGCTTGCGTGAGACCGACAGCAGCAGGTGTTGGCATCCTCACAGACGCTACCTGTCAGCATGTCCAAGCAAAATTATATCAGCTACTTTTCCTCCATTAATTCACTCAGGGCTAGTCAGACAGATGTTTGTTCTATTAACGCTATACGCCTGTAAGACACAGAATTATTTTTGCAATATTTTTCTTCTGACTCACAACTGCCACGTGCCAAAAGCACAATTAATCTAACAAAAGAAATTGAGATGGGTGAAGTTTCTGCATGCTGTTAGACTTCAGAAGAAGACTGCATACTGGGTGGACACTCACATTCTTCTGGCACGCACATGCAGACTAGCTCGCTTGGCATAATGTGCCACTGTTCAGTGAAAGAATATTTTTGAGAGCATTCAGGAGGAAATATAACCAACTCTAGAGCACACGATACCCCAAAGCTTTTTTTGTTAATGCACATTAATGCTTAGTCGTACCAATGTGTGCACAAACATTCCCGAGATACTGAGAACATTAAAAAAATTATCTTTTTCAGTAATTTCCCTTTTGTTTAGACATTTAATATTCCTTAAAGGCCCTTTAGGCTGCTAGGAGCCATCTGATGTTACAACTGGATATGAATTAAACATGAACTAAAGTAAATTGCCAAGAAAGACAGAAAAAAGCCCAGAGAGATGAATGTTGATGATGGGCTTGATGGAGGGTATGGCACTTGGCAAACCAGCTTCAGAAGGGGTAAGAACTCATTCTTATCAAAAGGAATGGCCTTTTTTTTTTACTATGTTTAAAATATTAACAAACTTAATTACAAATGAATCAACTGTGTCTGTAACAACTTGTCACATCATCTCTGTGCTCATAAACAGCTTTGTGTCTAAGCAAAGCCAAGCTGTGACGAAGCACTTCACACATCAAGTGCACAGGCCAGATGATCATTATGGGTGTCGTCTTGATGATCGTGGTGAGATGATGATCTTGGAAAGAAGGGTTATTTGCAAGTGGCGGTCTGTTGCGGTGGCTGGGCCAGGACTGTGGCTGGGGGGAACCTACTGCCCAGTGAACATCAAGAAGTTAGAAAGGTGCTTGGGTCACGCTTTGGCTACAGCAATTCATCTACCAAATGTGACAGTGATGAACTTCCAGTGTATATGCCCAACAGGATGATTTTCCAGGGCCTGAGAGGGGACACAGTTTCTCTTTGGTGCATCCCAACAGTGGAAGACGGGCCTTGTGATGGCAGATGCTTTCATCGCAGTGGATATGACCACCATGAAATCCAGAGAGGGGTTTCAAGAAACTTAAAAGGCATCAAGAAAAAATGGCTAAAGTAATAAATATATATGAAATCAATAAGCGGTTATTTTTCGTCTAACTTGTAAACATTTTTGGATATTTTTGTAGTGTCCTTAAGTATGTTCCTCAGGAATCATAATATCAGTAAGGCTGATGTTTATATCAAGCAAACAGCCTTCCAACAAATAACATACCCACACACACCTACAGTCTCCACTTTACATGGCTTAAATTCATGTACAGGATGCTGTGTTTTTACATCAGACTAGACAGATAAATCCTTCAAAGCATCAGGCTTTTCTAAATGTCCATGCTGCTTTTCCCACACGTTTGCATGAAACAGCGAATGTAGTTTGTTATTTTCTTACGACAACAGTTACGAAGTACTTTTTCACAAGTGTTTACTTAGGTATGATCTAAGTAAATACTGTCGCTAAGTTACTTATCAAAACTAACCACGGTAACAAGGACCTATGTCACCACAAACTGTTGCGCCTTTTTATCCAGCAGAATAAGACGGTCCAAGGTTAGATGAAGTTAATAGTTGATTCTTTTTGTGTTACTGCGTTTATAACTCTTGAAAACATTTTAAGCTGTTAGCTTCTGCAGCCATTAAAATACACGTTTTCTTCGTCTTCTGTACCAGTAACACCTCTTCAGTATTATAAAAGTACAGACTGGGTGTCTGTAGGTTCTGACCCGTTGTCTCTACACTTTACTTTTTAAAGGGATCTGTCAGTTTTTTATTAGAGGCATGGCTTTGGCCAGTAGGGGTGCTTATGAAAATGTAGCAGTCTCCTTCACTTTAGCCTTTAGAAAATTCATTAAACTCTTGTACTATTGGGCAATCCAGCAAGTTAATCATACAAATTTAATAGGAAAGCTAAACTGGACCCCTATGGTGCTATAGTGCTATGGCAACGCTGAAAACATGAATAATGTCCTTCACTAAACTCAGCATAACAAATGCTGCACAACTTTGACACCTTGTGGTTAAAAACAGAAACACCCAAGTAATGTCGTTAACTAATTTTAAAACATCTGACCTCATTTAGCCCAACACAAGACATTCAAAAGCAGAGGATGCAAAGATCTTAATTACTTGGCAATTAAAAGCATGAGGGTGACAAAAATAACTGGAGTGCAAGACTGACCTGAAAGTGCAGAATTATGGTCCAGATCAATCCCAGCGTCAGTTTTGGGTTGCCGTCTGTGATGTCATCATTTCTTATATTTACAAGTTTGACCTGGTAGATGGAAATGCAAATTTAGCACATGCAGACTTATTTAAGTAGTCATAGCCTGCTTCTTCTTTTTTTTATATATATATTCACCTTTAAGCACTAACAATGAGTTTTCCTCTTTGATATTATGCATGTCATTCCACAACCACCACAAGAGGGCACAGTCGCTATTGTATTGTGCTAGGGAAGATCGTTACCATAATCACAGTGTGGCACTGAGGGGAGCTCGTTAATGTTTTGTAGTAATTAAACGTTTTATAACATAATATAATGAAAAAAGTGCACTTTTTAAACACCCCCTTCAAATAAAGCAGGAAACTACTAAAAAACTAAAATAGTCTGACCACGGTTAGATATTATAGCATTTAATAAGGAACTCCTCCACTGCCCATCAGATCATCTGTAACAGCTGTAATCAATCAAAGTTCAGTTTGGACAGTTTACATGCTATGACTACAGAAGTTGCATCATGTGTCTGGTATGTACTGAGGCAAAACAATAGGACAACTCATTTGTTGCAATCTATGAATCCTTTGTCTCGAGCCTTACGTCACATCTGGCTGTGGCTCAACCAGGCTGCCTTCATCTTCTCATCCTGAGCATGGTGGGGGAGGGGGATGCAATCAAAGCTCTCTGAAATCCCACTGTTGGGATTTGCAGTCAGCGCTCCTTAAATGCTGCTATTACTGTTCATGTTTCATGAATTTTTTGTAAGGAAACAGAAAAATGCCATGAATCCAGCTGTGTCTGATGGTGGCAGTGTCTGAGAACCTGCTTGAACCCAGATATCAGCTTTTTTGCTGTATAAACAAACAGATAGCTACCCCTAAACATGAACTGATATATTTGTGTAAACCATTTGTAAGCCTTCATGTGTACTTAAATCCATAGGTTCTTGAGGGCATGAGACAGTTAATTAATGTTGCCTCTGTACACCAACACAACAATTTTACTGCACATTAATCAAATTGTAATCAAATGACAATGTAACTGAAATGCAGACATTCAGTTTCAATTCAAGGGGTTTCACAAAGCGTTGCAAGGGCTGTTTTTAGTAGCTGAATGAAAATCCTTTGTAGTCAATGACTGTCTGAAGTCTAAAACCCATAGATGTCACCAAAGACTGTTTCCTCCTATGAGGTGCTCTGCTAGGCCATTACTGCAGCAACATTCAGCTGCTGCTTCCTTGTGGGTCTCACATCTGAAAATTATGCTCTCTTGGGGTGAGATCAGGTGACTCATTTGTCATTAAAGAATATGCCATTTCTTTTTCCTTGAGAGAGCCTGGTTTGGTTTGGTAGTGTGCTTTGGGTCATTAACCATTTGTACTGTGAAGCTCTGTCTGTCGGTTTTGTAGCATTTGTCTGAATCTGAGCAGAAAGTACATTTCTGTACACAGTTCTTCCTACTACATCTATCAGCAGTCACAGCATCAATAAGCACTAGTGACCCAGTTCCAGTGGCAGTCATAGACTCCCATCCGATGATATATTCTATATCATGTTTGATAGATGAGGTGAAATGCTCCAAGGCCATTTCTCTCCTTCTCCATACTTTTCTCTTCCCATCACGCTGGTAAAAATTAATCTTGGTTTCACTTGTGGCTCTGGCTGTTTCTAATCTGCCCTTCTTGTTTCTTGAGAGCACCCAGTGGCTTCCACTTTGTTGCAAACCCACTGTATTTCTATTTATGAAAGGGTCTCTTAAATGCAAAATCTGGTAATGATACACCTACCTCCTCAAGAATGTGGGCTCGACATGGTTAGATATTAAGAAGCTGATTTTCATAAACAAATAAAGATTTGTGTTATATTCTACTTTTGTTGTCTTCTGTGCAGACCTTTTGTTGGTTCTGAGCAGGTCAGTCCGTTCCTTTCTAAGAAGGTACCAGATTATTGACTTGGCCACTCCTAAAATCTTAGATATCTCTCTAGTTGGCTCATTTTGGGTTTTCAGCCAAATGACGGCCTCCACGGGACTCCTATCGAGATTTAGAGTGAACAGCTGCAAAGCTCCAGCTCAAAATCTGGAATTAATGCCAGATGCTTTATCTGGAATAATGAGAGAACATGTCTAACCACTAAACAATTAATTATGAGCCTCTGAAAATGGGGGGTTGTCCATAAAAACTGCTTTCCTAAACAGTTAATGCAGTGCTTTTGTAATACCCCCTGAATTGAAGCTGAAAGCCTGCATTTATATCAGATATTAACTGTTTTATTTAAAATTCACTGTGGTGGAATACAGAGGTCAAATGACCAAAATAAAAGCATAATTGGCCAAAAACATTTGGATCTAACTCTAATTCATTACCAAATCAAAGTATAAAAATTACAGCTACTTTTTATGGAAACTTTCAGCTGTTTTTTCAGCTTTGTATGCAAGCTGATTTCCAATAGTCAAGCTGATGGTGTATAATTTAAAGAGTGTGTGGCAATATTGGTGAAATTACTCCAGTCACTATTCCTTACCTGCCGCCTCTTTAAATAGTCCAGCGCTATCTGTACATTCTGGAGTCTGTGGAAGCGCATCCTCCCTCTTTCCCGAGGCTGTGGACATAAAAAGGGAAAGGGAGCCATGTGTGCAAATCAGGATCTTCTCAATGTTAAAGGACACATTTTAAAACAATACAAATGACATGGAGGAAACAGGACATGCGTCTAAGGTTCTTACCCACTATTCTGGTAAGATGGCATAAAAGAGCAAACACACAAAAGCTCTTTGCACAACAACAGTGGCCATCTCCCTAAAGAAGATATGCTACATATCACGTACCGTCTTAGAACATTTTCCACCATTACCACCTGAACATGTCATAACAAATCACGCTTCCTTAGCTATGACCTGAATAAATCAATATTATTTGCATGTCTGTCTTCAAATCATCACAGAAAGTTGCATAATATGATCACTTGCGGCAGATGCTTGTGAATAGTCAGGGGCCACTGAATGAGGTCATGAAATGGAAAATGCATTCAAGCCAGGATGCAGCAGCAGCTAAAGACTTGCACTGCATTCAGCTACCTTGTTTTGTTTAGTAACGATGAAATGACACCATAAATATAAACCCCATTTGGGTAGTGAATGGTACTCAGTTCCCCTTTTGAAGCCTTCTTCTCAAAAGCAGCATATGAAAAATGTCCAGATCATCACGCAAGACTGAAGAGTTTTGACTGTATGACTAATGATGTGCAAAGCTAGTGAAATGAGTATAAAGACCCAAGCTTCATGGACAGCTTCTGTCATATTTTATTGAATCTTTTTAATGATTTTGCAAGATCAGTGAGCCAAATCGCTCTGTCTTTTTTTAACAGGAACAAAAACTGAAAATTAAAAAGCCTGGGTCTTTGGATCAAGGGCACATTTTTTCTGTGCCATCAGTATCACATTATAATATGAACGAAATTCTATAATGTGCTCATGAAAAGAGGTGACTATGAAACAAAGTGCTTCATAGAAGGAAAAATAAAATGGCCAAGTTGTAAAATTCGTCCCTGCTAAAGCAAGTATTTTAGACTACAGTAAGCACAAATCCTATAGTGGGATTGTGTCTGTGCTTCTGTTAACTGGTCACAGCACGCCCTGAATTAGTTTGTTACTAAAGGGGGTGGGAGGGCAAGCCACACGTACCCCCTTATCATCATCCACCGTGTCTCCATGCTGCTCAACTGCGCATGCGTCTGTCCCACTCACCAACCGCAAAGTCTTCAGAAAATCACGCTCCCTTGGCTTATCATCGAAAAGGCAACACATGGGGAAGAAGAGGAAGACATGGACACA